TTAAGAGGGGGAGGGAGCAGGGAAGTTTTTTTCTGAGCTTCATGTCCCACACAAAGTTCATCATGCTCTGACTGTACCTGTGTTTCATTGTGACAGTGCAGCCCACGCTCAGTGTATTCATCCTCAAGTCTTTGTAAGACAAGACAATCCCTGTTTTACCGACCAATATCATTTGGGAAGTCTGTGGCAGAGCAGGCAGCTGAGCTGTGTTTCCCAGGGCAATACCTCAGGACTATACTTCCTTACATGTGGGAATGAAGTAGCTTGTGTCATAAACTGCTAGCATGGAAAGAAAAGAAACAATGTAAAACATCAGGCTCTTACTTTTTTGTTTCCCTTTCGAGCTACTTGGAAAAGCAGGGGAAAAAAAAATAAAGGAGTAAAAATTAAACACTTTAATTCAAATTAAAACATTTATAGATTAGAAATAGAAAATTATTTTCTCCTTTCTCCAAGTGCCCAAGGTGAGCTTTGTAATTCCAAAATGACGTGAAATGTTTGCAAGTGGTTCATTCTTTTCTACAGCCTCCTTTCCCGCTGCCCCAAGTAAGATTAAAAGAGCTCTGGCATTTTATATTCTAAATTTTGACTGACCAGAACAAAATGCTTTCCCAGTGATGTGGGTTTGCACCTAAGCTTGTGTGTGTGTGTGTATGTACGTGTGTGTGTGTGTGTGTGTGTGTGTACATTGAATTTAACCTTAGGATATAATATTTCATAAAACATTTGTTATCTTTATTTTTATTGAGCCCAATTCCTCTGTGATACTTTGGTTTCATAGTCTGCCCTGAACAGAATTCAAAGACTTCTCTCAGAGTTTGAATTTTAGCTGTGGATAAAGGAAAGAACCTCTTCTCATTGCAGCAAAATCAGTAAATGGCTCTTGAGTAAAAATAGTTCCGACAGGTAAAGATAATTAGAATCAGAGCCAGGAGACAGCTGAGAGCAAGGATTTGGAAAGTGATTCCCTGAGAGCTATTTTATTCTCCAAGTAAACAGGGAAATAAAATTCTCATTTTTTTTTAATTTTGTTTTTTTTTTTTTTGACACGTCTGAGTGCCCCATGCACCAGACTGGCAATGACAGAGGTTCTTTTCTCTCAAAAACTGCATCTGGTAAAGATGAATGGCAGTCAGCAAACAGAAAATCCAAACCTCCTTTTCAGCTATTTGGGGGCAGCAACGCAGACAAAGGCAGCCACAAGGCAGAAAAAAAAAAATGTTTTTTTTTTTTCTCTTGCTGTGTCCAGACCCTTATTGATGCTCCAGTCTGGATGCTTCAGGTCTACCACTTAATACTCTCCAAAAATTATAATGCATCGATTATAAAAGCCATTATAGATGTACCACTTTACTTAGATTGTTAATGAGCTTGGCTATAAAGGGATTTGCAACCTGAATTTCATGACAGAGCCAAGGCATAATTTGCTCTGGGCTATAAAGCCTTTGAATTATTGAGGCAATTTACTTCCAAGTCTGCATTTGCCTTTTGAGCGCAAGTGCTCATGATGAGTGCATGTGTGTGTGAGAGGAGAGGCAAGACTGCAAGCTGCCAACAGTGAGGTAAGCACCAACTTTTCCAGCAGTACATCTCCCCATCATAAGCTCTTTCACACAGCCAGAGGATAACAACAGAAAATAACTGGCAAAATTATCATTTTGGATAAATAAGAGAAGAAAAATTGCATGCTGAGCAGTGCCAAATGAGCAAATTCAAATCACAATACCCAGTAAGAACAAATAAATTTTAAGAGTAGTCCTTCCCCTTGTACATGCTCAGTAGAATAAATACAAAGGAACACAATGTCTAGGTTTTGAAAGTATCCCACTTACTCTTTGAGCCTCAGTAAGAGCATCAACAACAACGCAAGTTTTCAAGGACTACAAAGCCAGATCCCACACCGAAAGTAAACAAAGCTTTGCAGAACACAAAGCAAAAGTCAAGAGAGAAACTTTAATGCAAAACAGCAGTGAGAATGAAGACAGAGCAATGAAGACAGAGCATCAATCTCCATGCCACATTTTTGGATTTGCTTACTGACCTTTAAAACATCAGTGAAAGCAAACAAGTTTATTCTAACCATACAGCAGGGTTAGGAGCTCACAGTGTCCCTTTCCATCGTACTGCAAAAATACGTATTGAGTGAAAGCTGGCTACTAAGCTTATTTTTATAGATAATAACAAGAAAGTCTGTCTTTCTCCAACTTACCCAATCAAACAGAAATGACCCAGGTGATCAACAGACACTCTTTTACATTCTACTGCCTCCTATTTAGTGCTATGTAAGGCATGTGAGAGCAACACTTTCAAGGTGTTGCTTGTCTAGACCAGCATTCAGGGGATAGCCCTTTTAATTCTTTTATCTGACATTAGTTCATTAAAGGGTCATTTTCTCTCACTGTGTTCCCACATGCAACTAATGATTCTAATTGATGAACTGGATTTACTGCACAAATAGAAACTGTTCTCAAGATGGGAAGAGAGCTCTTTCTTTGCTGCAGGAGTTTAAATGGAATCTGTAAATCCCCTAGTCATGATAACTTCTGCAATGCTGTTGAGCTGAAGAAACCTGTTAAGTGGAGATGTAAATAATGAACAGTTGTGGGTGGAATCTGCTTCCTCAAAGACAAAGGCCTGGGGATAGCTTTGCTTACCAGCTGTCTGTGAGGAGCCAGTCGATTGTGATAAAGGGCTGAGACATCACTATTGAGGAGTCAACTGAACTGCTTTTGACATGCAAAGAAAATTCTGTGTTCCTGCAGGCTGATTAGGTCAGGAGTTTATGTTAACAAGTAGTTTGTGTTTAAATTAATGAACCATGTTACAAGGCAAGAGCCTGGGCAAGACAAAAGTTAGGTGTTAGAAAAAACCCACCGAGATTAAGCCCTTCTTCCTAGGAAGTCAGGGAAAAAACTAAATGGTTCATTCACTGTGCTGTGTCAAATGACACTTGCTTCTTACATACACACACACAAACTCACTTCCTTCAGTGTTACTGTGTAAGCAAAAGCATGAAGGAAAGAGAAGTCAAATTGTTGTGATTATTCTCCCATCCTCCTCAAGCAAGCTCAGTCCTTGAGTGATCTCTGGAGAACCGAGCAAACCCGAGCCTTAGAAGCACCTTCACCTCTTTGCAGCACTGATAGCTAGTTGGTTACAAAGCTGTTCCCAGTAGTGATATAAGCATAATATACAGGAAAGTGAAGGCCTGCCCTCCTGCGACTGTCACTGTTTTTTCATTTGCCCAGTTTTATATTCCTGTTTCTATTAGTGAGTGAGCACTCGGCCATTCCCCTCCAACAGATATTTCTTCTTCAAAAGGCATAGGATTTGTTTCTGAGTGCTGCCCTGATGGAAAAGTTCTATAAATAAAAATACATCTGCTATATTTGTGACTCAGAGACACCCAGGACTGGGCATATATTGCTTTTCCAGTTGGAGACATCCAAGTAGTTACACTGGGTTATGCCTAGTCTCCATCTTAACACAGAAAAGGAAGGCAAAGGACAGAACAGGAGAAGTACAATTAAGAAAGACAAGACAGAAGAGAAGCAGATTTGTTAAACCAGTCTCTCCCTGCAACCCTCACAGTAAGCTATATGCAAGTTAAACACAGAACCAACACTTCTCTGTGTTGAGAGATGGACTCATGAGCAGCTCACACACCATGAATGTGTAGCAGAGATTCTAGTCTCAGTCCTGTTGGCTGGCAGAGATCTTAATTTTTAAATCATTAGTGCTCATTTCCAGGGTAGTTCTTGCAGTAATGCTTGCCACAGAATAGTCTTCTAAAAGCTGTGCAAGACTTTGTACCCACCACTTCTACTTCTTATTATTTGCAGGAGGCAGATCCTTTTCATAGCTACCAAAGCAACTTCAGCAAAAATTAAGACTATCAGTCATATTCTTGTTAGTAGAAGGTCAGTCAATATTAACTCTGACCTAACACTTTCTTTCCTGCTCGTATCCCATAGATAATCCCACAGATAATCCCACAGCAATGAACCATTGTTGTCTTCAGATTGCACATGTTTTTAAAGGTAGACAAATTAGCACCTTGCTAAAGTAGATTCAAAGAAAATCTCTACTCAGGAGTGAGTGGACAAATTTCATACTGTTTGGAATACTGGAGGGGCAATAAAAGGAAAAGAGCTGTCATTTTGAGAAAAAAAAATAAGGCCTCTCATAGCCCATATTTTTGCTTGGGCTGAGATCACTGTAATCAACTCTAAGCTCCCAGTTTTAACATGATGCATAGCAGTTATCCTTGCTACCAGTACTTCACAAAGAATCATCTCTAAAGAGTAATTTCTTTGGACTATTGCCCAGACTGTATGACAGTATTTTGTAGTTATAACTTACACTAGAGGGCACGGATGTCAGGAATCTTTGATTTCTTCTTTTCTGTACTGACTGTGACCCTGACACCTGAGAAGATAATAAGGTATAAAGTCATCTTTGAAATATTTGTTGAAAATTTGAAACACATTAGTAATGCTTAACCACGTGTGAAATTGTCTCTTTGAGACTAATTTGTACTTTAACTGGCAAAACTAAGTAGGAAAAGGGTCCAGCCCACAAGCCAGCTGGCCTTGAAAATGCAACTTTAAAGATTTAAAAAAACCTCAAAAACAATCCCTTTGGGTTTCATGACTGACAAAGAAAGTATCTTTTCTCATCTGCCTCATTCCTTGTGTCTAGCTGTGAAACATAGCACAATACATTTCCCTCCACAGGCTTTCCTGTCCTTGTTTGTCCGGCAGTTTAAGGAGCATGGGCCATTATGCAGCAATTTGCACTCCAGTCATTTTCTGGGCAGTTAATGTTGTCAAAATAAGAGAAACTACAGAGGCTATTCAGTGTGACTTGCTAGGGTTCCCCTTTCCACTCCAGTCTGGGAAGCTTCTGTTCTGGAACAACAACTTGCTGTTTGTACTGTTCTGACTCTTCGTGTGTGTTCCCGAGATGGCAAAATTCCCCTGCCTTTTTTTATTGCCATATGCTGGACACAAAGAATATTTTTATTATTTTTATCAGAATGTGAACAAGCAATTCATGTCCCACTTTTACAGGCATTTTTAAACTGCTGCCCTTTTACTTCATTTCATATCCTTGAAGAAGCTTTACCAGGAGATAATAGCAGTCACAGAAAACATTTCTTCTATCTGACAGATCATTACAACGGCATGAAAGGAAACATCTTTCCATCATAACCTACTTGGAAAAACAAACTCTTCATGTCTTCTTTAACTTTTACTCTCCTTCCCTTCCTTTACTCCCCATCTGAAATGAGTCACAGAGCTGCAGCTGTTCTTGTGTTGCATCTTCTGAATTTCCTGAATTTGCCTGTGTTGCTGGATATCTGTTGCTTGTATCAGGTGAATACTGGATGGGATTCATCTCACCAGATGTCACCTGTCCAGGGATGTCATTGCATTTCTGGCTTATCTGTGGTACTTCAATGTGTTGTTTACCCATTAGGACAGCTTCATCGTAAGAAGGTGGCAACTCCATTGCATAGAGACTGTAAGCTGGAAGGGACACAGTGTTCTTATCCATATCCACAAATACCGAAGGAATAGGGGCACTTAAAGGGTACTGCCATGAGCTGTATGCTGTGAAAAAGGGAATGAAAAAAAACAAACATTAAACACCTTCATGGAACACTGATATATAAAGGGCTAATCCTGCTTTTCTCCAAGAAATTATGGATTCATTTTTGTGGTGTCATGCACTATATACTAAAAGTTATCAGTATAGAAAATTACCTATGATGGACTTGTACATTCTCCAAAAGAAAGCAGTCAGAATTAAAAATATCCCTGCATACCAACATCCAGTAATGACTGTGAAATACTCAATACAGTACATGTATGTTGTAACAGAGGGTTCATACATGAACAACTGTGAACAACTCACATTAGATAACTGTGGCTGGAATAGTTAGAAACAGAGAGGGGCAGAAAAGTTAAAAAAAATGAGGGAATGGCAATAAGAACAGATGTGGGAGACAGGAAGTAAGTGGGTAACTCAACACAGACAAGTTAAATTCTGCTTGTCTGCACCCACTTACTGTGGTGCCCTCATGACCCACCTTTATCTCTCTTGCCCACCCTTTGGGGCTGAAAGTTGTTTGGGAAGTACATCAGAAAGTCCCCCTTATCCCAAGGACTGGACACAGAATTCCAGGCATATGTTCAATAGCAAAGCACTGCTGAATCCCAGCAGATACTTCCAGTACATACTTACAGGTCACTGTGCTATGGGCAGTGCTGTCACTGTCAATAGCAATAACTGTTAAATCATAAGGGTGCCTAGAGAAGGTTTCCACTGGAAGCCTCTTCTTTCGGCAGCAGAATTTGATGCAGCTCGCTGTAATCCCACAGAGCAGAAGCAGGAACAGAGGCAGCAAGATTAACCTTAGAGAAGGAGGGAGAACACCAAAACTTCATTGCTTATATTTTACTTCTTCCAGAACTGAATACAAAAGGCCAGACCTCCTAGGTTTAGTTCTGAATGGGTTCTGGATCCTGAATTGGGAAGTTGGATCAGAAACACTTAATCACAAGTTGAAGTACTGCTGTGGCCAACAGTACAATCCCTTCTGGCTCACAGATGCAGTAATGTTAATTATCTTAGGTTGTATTTTCAACTTGTATGTGAGAATGGCTCCGCTTTCAACTCTAAGAATGGTATGTACTTGGAGGGAAATGCCAGTACAAGCTTTTACAAGTCTAGGATCTGTATTAATAATTGAGCACAGAAATTAAATTTTGCAGTATGTCTTGAAAACACAATCTTCTATCTACCTATTGTTTAACAAAATTTAACACTTTGTAATGCATGCAGGTCAAGGTGTTGATGTTTCAGGTTCTCAATTGAAACTCAACCTTCCCACTCCTCAATTTCTCAAATGAATCCACTCTCTCATGAGCCAGGTGAGCAGCGAGATGTGTCATGAGAAGGCGAGGTAATAAGAACTGCTTCACAGTGCTGTAAAGAAGCAAGCCCAAGGACAAAGTTGAAATGGCTTGACAAGAATTACTGTGTGGCAGACCATGTGTCCTGGGTTCAGCTGTAACAGTTATTTTCTCCTTAGTAGTTGGCGCAGTGCTGTGTTTTCAACTTAAGTGTGAGTTACTGTCTGAGTTTAAACGATGACACCATGTTCCTGAATTCCTTGTTAAGAGTTATATTCCACCCTAAATATGTGTAGAAATGGCCTTGGTAGCATTCTGTTCTTTTTTTCCAAAGCAAAGGTAGTACTTACACGTAAGAAACGTTAACACACTGGCAGAATGCAAACTGTAAGAACAACGTTAAAGTTTTTTGCTAGCTAGAATGCCTGTCTTAGGCAGGAGATGAATCGCTTGTGCCAAAAGTTTACCCATTTACAAGGTTTGTAAGGGCTGGAGTTCACAACCAGTGAACAACCTCTTGTCCCGTGAGAGGGAGATAGCCATGGAAAGCGCATGAGGCTACAGTGCTGAGTGCTCTGCAGAGCTCTCTGGTTCAACAGGTCAAATAGGCCTGGCAGCGAAGCAGTACCCAGAAAGGGCAGATGACATCTCCTTGGATGAATGCCGTGCCTGCCTGACACCTTATCTCCCCTGTGGGCTCATCTGCAATACACTCCACTGGCAGCTTTCACAACACTGAGGAGAAGCCCTTTCCTCCTTCCTGCCCAAGAGCAGAGCATTTCCATTGCCTTACTGCAATTACATTTCATCAGAACTTTCAAATTATTCAGGGTTCATAAGACTAACAGTAAACTTACCAGATGTACCACAGACTGGTCCAGTTAGACATGTTCTGAGGGCATCTGTGAAGGAAGACAGATGATTCACTGATTTAAATATCTACAAACAGCAAATTTATAACAGGGAATAAATTTCACATGATTTCTGAGGTGAAAAAAAGGAAAGGAATCAGCAAGAGCATGGGACAAAACCTTTTAGATTTCCTCTCAGAGGACTGTTCTTCAGAGTTGTAAAACTACTCCAGCTGAGGACATGCAAATAATCCCATTGTAAAGGTTGGCTTCTGAGTTGATAAATGTTTTTACAAAGTGGTACTTTGCTGTTGCTTAGGAGAGAGAACTACAAATGCTGGCGTCTCCAAAACCAAATTCAAGTTATTTAAAGTTCACTGAGACAATGTACCTAATGCCATAGGCCAGCCTGAAAATGCCAGCCTAAGACAACTGCCTGCTCCCCACAGTTACTTTCAAATTACTTTTTCATAGCTCGAATACAGCCAGAAATGTGGGGATCAGATCTACTTACGGTACAAGAAAAGGAGATCAGCTTCTATGCCATTTCAGAAGTGTGGCTGCCCCAACAGTAGCACAGGTCTCTGCCTTCCTGGATTGAATGCTACAGGTTTCAGGCAATTGAATCCCTTGGCACAGAAGAGATCTGCACAAGAGGATCTGCCCAAGAAGATCTGCACATTTGATTTTCGGCAGATGACACCTCGACGTCATATTAAAAGAGAGGATCGTTCACCTTAGGTACAGAGCAAGGGCAGCCAAGCCAGATTTGTAAACTGTTGACAATCTTAGAGAAAAAGCGGCAGTGAGGGACGGCGGTCAGTCAGCTCTAATCTGGCACTCCAACGCGAAGGGGACAGTTTGGTGACGTGACAGACATTAGAAAACATTACTCACCGACCAGAGCTGTCGCAGCCACTCTCAGGACACAGCAGTGCCTGGCAAATGGAAAACCCAACCAGGGGAGCAGGCGGCCGGACGAAAAGAACCTCGCTCACGGGTCGCGGACTCCGCAGCAGCCGGTTAAGCGGGGCCGCGCGGCAGGCGGAGCTTCCTCAGGGACAAGCGGAGCGTCCCGGGGAGCCGCGGCTGGGGCCGCCCCCGGGGTCGGTTGGACAGACAGTCCCCCATAACCCTCACCCAGTGCCGGGAGGGGCTGCCTGGGCCCTGCCCGAGGCTTGGGGCGGCTGCAGGACCTCCCCGGCACCGGCGCGCGGCCGGCCCTTTCCAGGGTCCGGCGCTGACCCGTCCGCCCCAGCGGGCGGCGGGGAGCAGGGGGGCGAGGCGGGACAGAGCCCCCGGATTCTTCCATCTGAGCCCCGCAGCTGGCTGCTCTCCAGGAGACGTTCACTATTCTTGTCCGCAAGGCTCTAAAGCGGTGTTTCAGGCAGAGCTCGTTGGTGGCATGCGGCACAGTGACTACAGTGTGTTACTCGAAGACTGCTCAGGGTCATGGGACAGTTGCTCACTTAGGAAAAGCTGCATTCGTAAGTGTGAAGAAATCTCTAAAGACCCTGGATAAGCAGAACATGCATTAATAAGAAGTATATGACACTAGGATGTATTCTCTCACTTCCTTTGGTTTGGAAATGAGCTAGTTAAGGGATTTTAAGAATTATAAAGACCATACACAGATGTGAATTTGTTTTCTTATTGCACTAGAACTGCATCAGAGCCAAGTAGTATATACTGGCATTTAGATCCAAAGCTGAAAGTGCAGGAATTTTTGTCCAGTGGCCCAAGAGTGAAGACAGTTGCAAAGTTCAGTGTGAAATCATAATATTCAGAGTAATTCCTGAATTCTCAGTGGACTGACAGAGCAAGTTCACATTGTGAAGATTCTAAAGAGGCTCAGCACTAATTTAAAATGTAGCAAAAGTAACTATGTTAATCTACATGAAGTTAGTGCCCTTCCTCGCTTTCTGAAAACTTCCCTACTGCTCTGTAACTGCCAGCTGTGCAGCACTATTTGGAACAGTTCTGTGTTGTGTGCATTTGATTTCCCTTCCAGGGTGCAAGGACTCTGAGAGAATCAGCACATAAACCTCATTATGTGCCCGATCGACTGTGCCAGAAGGAACACCCTCTGCTGCTCGTGAGGGCAGCGCTGTCCCTGGCTGGCACTGCCACCCACTCCCAGTCCTGCTGCCTCCTGTGGTGATGGTCACTGCTTCAGCATTTGCAGATCTTCAGACTGAAGAGTTAAATAACCTCACAGCCACTTGATCCATTATTAAATGAGAACAGATCAGAATGGAGCCAAAAAGGCTCAGGGGAGAACTTGTAACTGTCTTTCAATACCTAAAGGGGCTGGTACCCAGGGCCAAGCAGCAATATGCCTTTGAGTGGCATTGAGGGAATTTTGCCACAGGCTTACTGTGATTCAAGAAAGAGTGATACAAGGTTTAAAAGATTATCTGTATTTCTAGGTGTCTGTTAATGTCCTGGTCCCTTCATTCCCCACAGGACTGTACCTCTAGTTTTCACTTCTCTGAACTGGCTGCTGCTTCCTGACAGAAGCTACACCTGCAGGACAGTCCAGCTTCCCCACTAAAAGGCAGAGAGATCTGCTCTTAGTCAGAATTCAGAGGAAATCAAATGTAGAAATAGGAAATTCCTGGAGAGTCATGACCTAGCATCTAACTATGCCCAGCAATTCAGCAAACAGCACAGTCACTGCTTCCTGACCATGTGTTATCAGGAAGATTTTCCAGTGTATTGTAAAAATGACTGGCTAAACAATGCAGAGGAGACTTGAGGCTTTATTCTGGTCTTAAAAAGGAAAAATCAAGGATTTTCCAAATCCATTAAAATGCATCTGAAATTGGGGAAAGATACATCATTTGAAACTCATGCATGTAGATGTAAAAGAGGTATTGCTCCTGAGGAAATGCTCACCTTCAGCAGACCCTGTCTGCAGCCTCTGCTTGGGGCCCTCATTAATTCTTTCTTCTACAACCAGATTATTGCCACTGAGTCAGCTTGAAAACAAAACTAGTGGAAGCAGAGTTTAAGTAGAAGTTTAAGAAGAAATGTCACCTTCCTTCCCACCTCTCTGCTCCCCTTACATTTGCAACAGTCTCAAAATCTTCCCATGTACCAACTGAGATCCAGTGATTTCCCAGTAATATAGGCCTCTGTCTTCCTTTTCACTTGGCTTGGTTCCCTCACTTGGTGGGAGCACACGCAGACACAATTTTTGTCATGAAGAGGATTTGGTAAGATTCTTTAACGTCACCTTTTAAGGCCAGGAGGGCTGTCACAAGTGGAGGGTCATCGTCCTAAAAAAAAAAAAAAATCCATCCATAAAACCAAGGCTTTTTTTTTTTTGCCTTTTTTTTTTTTTATAGGACAGATTAGTTATCACAGTCTAAACCATGTATTTTGCATCTCAGTGGTAAGGTGCACCAGTTACAGATACATATTACCCCTCATCCCACCCTGTTGGCTCTTTCATATCCCCACATAATGCCCATAGTGCAGCAAGTAAAGCGGCAATGACCAAGCATTTCATCTCCAGAGTGCTGCAGATAGCACCACCACATTACGACCATGGCTGCTGGGCACAGCAGCAACAGAGTATGCTGCACTGAGGGCTGGGAAAGAAATGGGTCCTGTTAAACCTGAGTTAGTGTTAAATCTTGTGTAACAGCCAGTGGTTACCAAGAGGCACAATGTCAACCTCATACATCTTGCCAGGAATTTTACATCGCTCTTTCTGCACATGATAGCAGCAATCTTTTAATTTTGGAACAAGCTACTCATTTAGCCCTCCCACACAGCTCACAACAACAGCCAGGGAAGTAAATTCTCTCAGTCTCCAGGAATGCCCAAGCAGATGAATCAGGAGGAACAAAAACAGCCCCGCAAAGACGTTTGGGTCTCACACCCAGACTCTGCAGCACAAAAGGGCAAAAGCAGCCAGAGAAACGGAGTTCATAAAGCAATTCATGAAGTGGAAAATAAAAAAGCCCCACTGACTTCTAGGAACACAACCAGCAAAAGGCAGCCCACAGCCAAAGAAACATGAACATTGTGGCACAATGATCCATGTAAGCTTAGTTCTGTGTCAGCAGGTTTTCTTGCACAGATCACGTCAGTGTGATCAGAGCTGTGTCTGAGTTATCAGCAGCAGCATTTTGGCACTATATAAGGCAGAATAACTTCACACAGGTCACTAAGTTGTGTAAGGTGCAAGTGACTAATGCTTGTCTTTTCACCACACCATCAAATGCAAGTCCATGGGGAGGTTTCAAACCTCCAAATCAAACATGTTGCTCCCACTTTTATTCTCCTATCTGTGTTTCTACCAGCCTATGCTCCCTTTGGTAACTACATGTGTCAAAACAGCCTGTACCTCTGACGGCCTCAAGATCACCTTTTGTGTTTCTCGTACAACTCGGTTAAAACAGCCGTCACATGCCGTACACCAAGTGTAACTTACGCAGAAGTCAGCAGGTGGCACCCAAGAAACACGGATGCGTTTGACTTGACCCCACTCGACTGTTCCTTGCGTAGGTTCAACAGCGAATCCCTTCTGCTGGAGGAGCGGCAGGTCAAGGAAGGAGAACTCTGTGCGCTGCGGTAGACAGGACACACACAGGACCCATTGCAGCCGGCACCAAGACTGCTCATTAAAGAAAACGTTGCCCAGATGCTGCTGCTTGCCATACTATTACCACCTTTGAAACCCCAAGTACCTGTCTTGCTCACATTTCAAGCTGCCACAAAATACTACACTAAAAACACACGGCTGGACCTGTAATCCACCTCTGTGCTCAAATTTATATATTCAGAATTAGGAGAGCAAACTGCTAAATTTTGTTGCTGACTTAATACGACACTGCTAATCCCTCATACTAGCCCCTGAAAAATTATCTTTCCTTTTCAAACACTGATGCTTTTATAATGTACAGTTTATCAGAAACCCTGAAAGCTGTACTTTTTAATTTACAGATATTTTGACAGAAAGGACCAACAGCTATCTGTACTCTGTTGGTATTCCTTACAGCACCTGACATAAAACAGCATTTTTAATTAATTTTTAATTTTCTTCACCTTCTTGAACGCAAACCGAGCTGTCTGAATGGCTCCAATCCGCAGCTCTGTCACTGCTGGTGCTGGAGAACTCTCTCCATCCATGTACTCCAGAGCAAGGAGAATGGACTTCACTGGTTCTTGCAGCTCTAAACATAGTCAATTCAAGTAAACTTGGATACAGACACAACTGGGCAAGTATCAATTTGGAACAGCTATAGGTTGCACCAGGATGGTTCGCAATGAAGTGATGTGGTAAATTCATGAGTTGGTGTAGATAGGGAGATCCTTCTTACAGACTTGGTAAAGAATTATGCACAAAAATGTTTTGCATAATTTGCAGTTGCAAATTTATCAAGTTTCCTGCTCATTTTCTAGCCCCATAGCACATATGCTGTGTGTATGATATTCCTACTTGTATATTGTTTATGCTTGGATTTATTCATAGCTCAGGAACTAGGATTTGCTTATGCACTGTCTCTAAACACAGATCCTGTCCAGAGAAAATAAGGAAGGATAAATTCAACCTCCCGAAAGTATGCCTGTTTTGGATGTTCCCTATACAATTGGGAAAGTCCAGGATATGTTATAATGTATGAAATTATTATCTAAACATTTAATACAAGTCAGAAGTGCAGAAAGCAAATACACCTTAATACTTCATAGTAGTACTATTAAATTATAAAAATCTTTTGCAAGGTAACTTGCAAAGATAGAAGATGGTTATTAAAGAGACAACTGCATTAAAATGAAGAGAAAATCTTTCCTTAAATGCAAGTTTCCTGCTATCCCATAATGCTTATTTGTTCTGATTCTGCAAAACTTATCTTTAATTTACTATTTCTGAAAGGATGAGGATCATGCCCATGTCTTGTCACTCCCTGTTTTGTAATGAAGCAGTATGATGTTACCTTCTTTTGGTGCTCCCTGTGATGATAGGGGTGGTGCTACAGCCAGGGATTCAATGGGCACACCCAGTGGAACTCCCCCTTCCACAAACACTGGATGATCTCTGGCTGCACCCTTTAGGCAGATCACACGGGCTATTTCCTGTGCAGGACAAGAATGTGTCAAACGCAGCTTTCAGTGTAAAGTACCTACATAGCAGGAAAACTGACACAACAGCAACAGTTGCATTGAAATTATTACATCACCTGACTACACAGATGCCAAGGGGCCCAGTTCTCTACTGCAACAACCCCCAATCTCCTCCATGCCTTGTCCACTCCTGTTTTAAACAGCCCCTCATTTCTGGGAAGCAACCTCAGGGGGGCACTGGACAAGCTGTTTATACTAAAGCCACTAAAAGAGGCAAAGCTTATCTGCTGCCAAACTTTGCTAGAGTTTGTAAACTAGGACCAGTCTCCATTCATCTTCATCTTATTCTGATTTGCATTCTTAACTTCAATTCCAAAGATCGTCTGGAGATACCAACCTTGTAAGGGGAGAAACAGAACTTACTTGCTTGGAGACAGTTTGTGCTCTATGTCTGCAGTGCCTGCCAATGGTCCTTAGCTGGCACTCTTTATTAACTTTTGCTCAGTCTCTTTGGATGTGGAGTAAAGCCCCTTGCTGTGTTGCCAGCCTGTATATCCTGACTTGGGCTCCATCTAAACTCAGTGACTGCTCTACAGATGGAAACCTCCTTCTTCACGCTGTGTGACTGCAGAAGCAGCTCCCTGGTGCTTGGTGCACCTGCCAGTGGCACCATGCATGTGGAGCTCTGCTCTCCACTGCCATTAAACACTACTTGCAGAGAACCCACTTGGAGCTGTGCTCAGTAGCATGGCAGCAGCCCACTTCCCATCACCTCACATTTACACCACGTGGACAGCTGGCAGAAAACAGGACTGAACCCCAGCTCACTGCTGCCATCAATTAATAACTGAATATTTAAAACCTGAAAAGTCAGTGGGCCCCAAAGCTGCCATCTCACACCTACATCAGTCAATCTGATCAAGATATTTCTGCCTATGAATACTGTCTGCTAGATAGAGTTGAATACTGTCCACCAGATATAACTATCTGAAACTTCTACTAAGACCCACACTGATGAAAATCACTGCAGGTCATATTTAGAGTTTGATTTCATAATCCAGGGATTTTGATTGTCTCACCTTGCCAAAGAGTACAACCTTGAGACAGTCAGAATAGTACAGACTTTCATGATCAGGACTGAAAGTAACAACAAAATCCTGACTCTTCCCAGCAACAATCTCTCCTTCTGTTGGAAAGACGCTGAACACACTTAGGCCATTATAGTTCTGTGTTCCTAGTAAATAAAAATGAGGACAGAATAAGGAGGAGAGCAGGACAGCTTCATTTTACTTTTTCATATATTTTAAACCCATTTGATTTTTTGGAACAACAAACAAATAAGCTTGATGCATGGTTTTGCAGCAAAACAGCATGTTAGAAACACCCAGTAAAGCCATCTACAAGTCTAATGCATTCATCTCTAGAGGAACTGAAGCAGCGTCACCAAACCCTTCCTATATTCTAACATGTTTCTACAGAGATGGACACCCCTAAATATAACCTTTAACATGCAATTACTGTGTGTGTTTATTTATATTCAATCACTAGTATCTCCTTACTTAGGGATATTTGCTCAGGCTGCATAAATTTACAGCCACACATACTGAAAAATCTAGTGCAGCTCCTATTGGGAAACAAAACTGTTTTCAATTTTGGGGATGTGATGCCCCTGATTTTGACAGTTGTGTAGATCCAACAGGATAAAGTATTGCTGCTTCGTACTTCAGAGCCTTTAACAAAGGTACAAGACTAAAATACAAGTTTACCAACAAGCTCTGTTCTTTGCAAAGAGGACGTAATAAAGGATGGAAGCCTCTGCCGATCTTTGTCCCTTGTTGGTGAAAGTGAATCGAGTTGGATGGAGTATCTCAGGGTCAGCATGGAAGTGTTCTGTATCTGACAACATTAAATTACACAGGACCAGTTTCATTAAGAAAAATCAATTCTCAAGCCCATAGGATCCACCGTTAGTGAACTGGCTGAATTTATTTCATTGTATTACTGCTTTACTGTGTGCTCAGGTGCCACTGAAAGCACATTTTATTGCTACCCATGATGTGTCATGTCAGCCCTGCACCCAACAACGGGGACCAGGCTCCTCTTAAGAGTCCTACATCAAATAATATATTTTGGTTATTGATGTACTGGGACAGAAACTGAGAGGAGAAGATCTTGGCTTGTTTCTGAGTCTGCGGAATTTGCAGTATATGAGTGAGTGAAGTGGTTAAACATCCCCCAACTGCACCGTGGCAGACCCTTGTGTGCTCTTTGTAGGACCAGTTTTGCATTTCACCCATGTACCCCTGCCACTGCTTTGCTTGGCCTCAGTACAGCCTCATTTGGGACAGCAGTAATGGGCAGAATAGAGAAAGAGGGCAAATATTTCTAACACTGGTAAAAGATGAGCCATTTCTGTTTTAATTCCTTTTGCATGCTGACTAGATCTATGGAGCTCCCACAGATCATTTCTTTTTATTTTATAGAAAATATGTTTTTATATACATATATAAAAATGAAAAACAAAATATATTTTTTTAACATACATAGAATATATGTTTTTTATGGCTCTATTTCTGTGTAGAGGCTGCAGGCAGGACAGCAGCAGCTAAGAAGATCCTCCCTGCACAGCTTTGTAACCTTCACCCTGAAACTGTCTCAGCACCAGATCAGTCTGCCAGACTGCATTTAAAGGTGTGTTCTTGTCTACAGTTTGACACTTGGCCTTGTGTTCTGCTGGACTAAAAACTACAGAACTCCTCTTCCTCCTTGCAAAACTTGCTGACATGCTTTTAGCTCAGCACAGAGGGATTTACCTTGAATGTGGAAGTCACCTTCTCTTTGGCTATGACACAGCCCATATCAAGTACTTCTTCCACAGAGCAAACAACTGATGGTGTCACTCCACGTCCAGTGACACTCAGGGTTAGGGTGGTCTCTGCTGCCCAGATTTCCAGCGTTTCAAAGGACTGCCAGAGGATGTCTGTGTTAGCCCAGGTGCTGAAAGGAAGACATCCCTCACCCTTCCAACTGCCCCCCTCCCACAAATGGTCCCTTACCCATGGATTTAGTGCATAGACAAAGATCTAAATGTTAGGAGTGGGTAGGCACAGGCAGCAAAGTTTTTCCTATTATACAGCCTCATCCCAGTCAGTAATATGTGTACATCACATAGCCAGTTACACCTCTTTGTCTTTCCTCTTTTCCCCCCATTACTGTTGTATCTCTTACTCACCCATTTATTCTTGTTGGGACAAAAAGAGATGATGAGGGGTTTATTTTCAGCTGGCTCAAGCATTCCAACTGCTCTGACCAACACGAAGGGACCACTAGGATTCAGAACTGAGAATCCTAACTGAAATTGTGCAGCTCAAGGAAAAGTTTATAAACAACGATTAGGGGAAAGGATACAAGAACAGATTTTAAGTATTGCTCAGACTGAAGATGTATGAAGTAACATCTATAAGCTTTTACAGAGAACAGTAACTCAGAGAAAAGAAGAACATAATACTACATCAAAAGCAGCTGAGTCATCAGTACCATACACTCTCTGGAAGGTGGTTAAGTGTTTCTCAGGTTTGCCTCTATCTATGCAGAATGACTTCCTGTTAAAAAGGGTAGAATTGAACTCACTTTCCAGTAGGTTCCCTTGGCTTGTCCAATATATTATTCATGTTACTTTCTGTCTCCCTGTGAAAGAATGCATTGAGTCTGAAATCTGCTACCTCCTACTGCTTTAGTGTCAAACAGTTCCTCCTCCAAATACAGTCGACTTAAACAGGAGCTGAATAGCAGGTTAACTCCTGTGTTCCAAACAAGGATACTTCCAGCTTCTTTGGGGAGATATTTTGTATTGTAAGTTGCTTCATCATTCTGTGGCCTGACAGGAATAAAAACATTTGAGAAAGTGATGCTGCTCACTCATGCACTACCATTCCTCTTTTAACTCATGCTTCTACCTGGCCCAAACATTTGTTCAATTTCTACGGCTAATCCACTCATCAAAGCTCACCAAAACACTTCCAGATTTCGACAATCACTTACAGAGCTTCCACTTCCATGTTTTGGGATCGAATCTGCTTTTTCACATGCCTCAGCTGGCCAGACAGGCTCCTAATTTTCCACCTAAGTACCTACTAGGGGGCTAATTTCTATCTTGACTTCTGAAAATCAACTGAACAATGTAAAAGGAAATGCAAAACCACACTCAGAAGAAAACATCAGATAGAGAAAACTCAAAAATTGAAATCAAATTTCATACCTACTGCAACATCACCAAAATCGACAGTATTCGTTCCATTATTTGAAGTGACCACAACAGATGGGGCTACAGCTGGACAGTGCAACTCCAAATACAAAGTGTTGTAGGGACTAGAGAAATAATAAAAGGTTACTTGCTTTTGGATGATAAAGAAACACATTGTCAGAAATCTGTTCTTATTCTGCTCATGTCACAGGATATCATTAAATTGGTATTACAGAACAATACATAATTTGGGATGGCTGGTTTTTGTCTTTCTAAGCAGAAAGATGAGCTACATCTGGCTTAAGTTTTCCACACGCTTAGTCTTTTAAGCTGCTTTAATTCCATGTGTTTGACTTTTACCCAACTACTGGGTTGTAAGCATGAGTTTCTACCACTGACTTATGAAGTAATTAAGATCAGAAAACTTATTTCCCCCCCAAATGAGTAAATTAACTTGCCCACCACTTCCCCTCAAATTTCTGAACTATCATGAAGTGCAAATATCTACCTGTAACTTAAGTTTTCAGAGCCTTTCTTTTCATCGATTTGTCCACTTGCAACAAAGCACGGTATGATGTATTTTTCAAACCTCCCACTGAAAGTCCTCCTCAGGAAAGCCTGGGCTGCCATATAGGCCTCAGAACTAGAATATCCAGAAATAAGAATTATCTCAGTGAGAGAGCAAGGAAAAAAAACCCAAATCAAATATATACTGAGCTATTTGTGTTTACTGTTTCTTAGCCATGCATTCACAATTGAAGGTAACTGAATCTCAGAGACTTTTTTGATATGCAGTAATGGACCCAACCCTACAAAGTGGTTTGTTTTTCTTATAAAAAAAAAAAAATTAAAACCCCATGTAAAACAGATGTTATACAAAACACTACAAATTCTCAGTATGATTCTTATGTTGAATACTTTAAGAATTCCAGTGGCTTCCACTACTTATACATCACGTCAGTGATATGTAAATACACATTATCACATCTCTCTAATTCAGTGTGCCAAGGAATGCTTCATAATGGGAGTTTTACAATATACATATTATTTTTATGACTTGTGCTGAAAGTATTTAAGAATTACAATGAATAGTTTGCAAGGAACATGGGATTTTAGACAAAAATGCCTAACATCAAGCACAGTCAAACACCTGGTGTTTAAGCATGTATTTCCTTCCAAACACTGCTAAATTCCTCAGATTAAACAGAAGTGTGGGTCTGAAAAGGTGAATTATATGCTAAACAAGGACCTCAACTACCGTTTTGCATCTAGGTACCCAAGTTTTAGATAGCCTCTGCTATCAATGCTAATCCTCACTGAGATACACATACTGTAAAATGACTATTTAAAATGCACATTTTACAGCATTCTGACATTTTCAGGACTACAGATAACCATGAATAATATGATGAACTAGGTAAGCCCTCCAAAAAGTAAAATTACCACATGGATGTAGGCCCTTGGATGGTTTCCATCTGGGATGAAGTTATGCAGCTCTCTTAGAGCTGTTTGTTAGTAATTTCATTTGGTAACTAAGTTCAGCTTTCTCAATGTCCTTTAAAACACCACCCTCATTGGTTCAACCAAATTCCTTCACTTCCCAATACATTCTTTGAAGTTTTCAGTCCCTCCAATGCAGAGAGGGATTCTGTGCTAACATGAGAGGGTACAGCTGTGTGGCTTAAAAGCAGTGCTAATTTTGGAAACAGCCTTTGCAACACAGCTAAAGCTATTTTTTCTCTCTACATTTTGCTTTCCTGTCTACCTATTGGCTTTAGTAGGTTTATTAAACTACTTATAAGGAGAATATTGTCTATGTAATACAAGATGCTGTTGCTGACTTACTCAGGCATTAACTCTTCAGGTTTCGGTTGCTCAGAACTGCATGGAGAACTCGGGTATTTGCTGCCTCCATCCCTTACCAGCTGTCTGGAAGACTGATGTCTGGTAATGAAAACGCTTAATTTCTTTCCCCCTCTCTTTTCATCTTTCTTCTTTTTCTGCAAATCCACACACAGAGACATTACACACTGAGGGTGATCACCAGTAATCCAGTTAAGACATCAGTTTACAAATACATGGCCCCTTGCCGAAGGATACAGAATCAGAGAGGTGATAAAGTATATGAAGCATGCTAACAGCAGCAGGATCATGGGAAGAAGCCATAGACACAGTAGTTACATTTCTCATTAGATAAAATTAAATTGGTACAGAGATAATTTACCCCTTCTTAAAACAAAGAGTTCCCGTATTGAAGCAGAGGAGTAAGAGACTATGCCTCTCACGGGAATTTTCCCTATTTATCTCATAATTAAAGACAACCATAGGGGCTCACTTAAACTCAGTGACCCACAGCATTGCATATAAAGTCCATGTATGCTGTCAATCTGCAAGAAGGGTAGAGACTTTTTGGGTTTTAAGAGCACTTGTACTAAGCGTTTGCAAGCAAATCCTCTAGGAATGCTTTTGGAATTGTTAATGTGAAAAAAGATTATTGCTCAGCAAACAAAATACACATTAAGTGCAACAGTACAGTCCTACTTCTGTCCCTTATAAGCAAGTCCTAGATGGATCATGAGTTTGGGCTTCATTAATATGCAAATGATTTTATGATAAAAATACCATCCAGAGAAACAAATATCTGGAAGTAGCAGCCCAACAGCACATGCTGGCTCTTTGCATCCCTTACTTGTATTTCTGCCCCTGCTGCAGCTGCTCTGCACAGCCTCCGAACTGCCTCTTCTCTGATGAGCTGATCCGAAAGTGTTGGTCTGAAGGACACTTGAATCAAGCTTTTCTGGGAGTGAGAGAGCACACAAGAAGGTTGGCAAAATTCAGCCCTCAAAGTCCGTTTAACCTACAGAGCTCAACAGGAGCATGGACATCACAGCAAACAATTCACAAATACAGTTTTTTTCCAGTGAATAAAATGATACTGAGGTTAAGGCTGCTTGCAGTTTTCTGGATGTCCCCTGTGTTACAGCAGGCTGGTTTTACATGGCCAATATTTTTGATCTCTCAGCATTCTTCAAATCAATCATAATGACAACATTGGGAAAAGAACGTCCAGGGTGAAAACTCCTGTAAGCATTAGCCAGATTCAATGGTCAACCCCTTGTGTCTGCTTGAAACCATTATTTCAAAGAACAGAAAATATGCTAGCTGTTCTAACAGTAATTTACATTTTGACCTCTGTTTAAAAGTGACAGCATTTGCACGGAGGTGGTTGATCAAAAGATCTGGCAGAACACCTCATGTTTAAAGTCAGTTTACCTTCCCAGGCAACACAGTTCCAACAGAAGGTGCGATTGTCACTGGACAGTCTTCTGGCACACAGAATTCAAATGAAGTGGGTCCAACAGGGGCAACTTCCCCATTGCCAATCCTTGGGACAGTGTGAGTAAAGTGGCTGATGCTGACATGGGGATTCATCACATACAGTTTTGCTGTAGACACACTATTTAAAGCTGTTGTAGCAAACTGAACCAAGGAATGAGACAATTCAAGAGGTGGGTGGACTCCAACAGCTTTGCATGACAGCTTGAATTGTCTAAAAATAAGCACATGATAAATTGTCTCAGCATAAAATAGTCTTTTAATCAGCCCAGAAAATAGGGAACTAATCCTGTAGTCCCTATTTAAGCAAAACTTCAAGCTTACAATGGGAATTTTGCCTAAAGATGAACAATAATACTATCTATTTTTAATGCACAATTGGCTAGAGTCCCTGTTTGAATTCTTCCTCTGTGTACTTTGGGAAATATATCCAGCCAAATCAAAGTTTATGCCATCATTATTTTGGTAGCACTAGTTTAGTATGAAGCATTTAAAATATTGATAATAATAATGATAACAATAATATAAACCTTCATCAATTCAGCTGAAAAACGCAAGCAGAACATTGCAGGTTAGGATGACCTGGGGCAAACTCGCAGCTTGGATATGTGACAAGGATAAACTTCAAATGGGAAAGGAAAAGTGACCTCACTAAAGTTAGATACTTAAATGAAGGATGAAGCTAACAGGCATTGAGCAGTTCTAGTGAACTAGAGAATCCCTACCTGCCCCACATACTCATCCTAGCCTTACCTCTGCAGAGTAAACAGGGATTTAATTTCTGAACTAGCTTAACTGTGGAAATCCAGTGTGATTTAGACTTCTACATAACCTACTACTCAATCAGTTTCTTAACATACCTATTAATCTCTGACTTGCAGGTTAGTTCAAAGCTGTAATCTTTTGCCTTGTTAGCTTTAAAGATTATGTCCAGTGTCAGGCTTTCAAGGGGAAGAAGAATTCCAAGTCCATCATTGGGCTGAATTTCAACAAACTTAAAAATGGCAGGATAAGAAATTATTGTTATTAAAATAATTAAAAAAGTTAAATTATCAAATTCTTAATAAATTAAAATAAGCCATTACAGGCAAGATAAGAACATTTTGTTATTAAATGTACAAACATCAGGGAAACAGAAACCTTCTAGTGAGAAGCTTTCATCCGAGTCGGTGACTAGTGTCTGACTGATGTGCAGATTTCTCATCTCAAAGTAACTTGAAAGGCATTGAATCCATTAACACAGACTTCAGTGGAATCTCTTCCCCACTGTGGATCTACTATCCACAGTATTCACCCTTCTCTAATGATGTTTATTTAGTCTCTATAGACAACTGAATGAAATATGATAAAAATCTCAAGTTCCCCCGCTATCTTTGAGGAGCTGATTCCCTTGTGATGTGCAGATACCATAGTGACAAGAACCAGTTTAATATCTACAAACGGGCATTGGTTTGGTTTTGAGTTGATGATGATTCAAGAATGTCACATTTTAATCTAAAACTTAATCTTAAGCTAATCAGGAAACACATGCTGTGAAGTAAAGCTTTAGGAAGCTGAAAATACCAGTTTCTTTTAGCCAACTCCTTGACTTTAATACCTAAAACAGCAGAGAAAGAGAGAATGCCTAATTAAATGTCAGATTCCTCTAGCTCTGATTCCAATATGCCAAGCCATTTCACACTCATGCTATTATGAAGCTGGAACCGCTAACTTTTTGCAAAAAAAAAAACCTAATTCAGCAGACATAGCCCCCACAAAACTAGCAGCTCCTGTGATTAATTCTGCTGCCACACCAACTTACAGTCAGTCAGAAATACCTAGGGATTATCAGGGATGATTCCCAATAAGCAGTTTAGGAACGGCTATTCTGCTTGAAAGTGTTTAGGCCTTGGGATGCAAACTGAGTGATATTGCTCACTACCCTAACCCGTGTGTTTCCACAGTGCTGCAGCCAGAAGCATTTCCGTTGGTTTGCAAGAACTAGTTATGATTTATTTACACTGACACTGAAACATGTTTTCATAATAATTAAATCTATTTTTATTCTAAAAGAGGTGTGTGTGGGATAGCTACATACCTCTGGAAGCCCCACAAATCCAAACTCTTGCGGCAAGATGGATTTGTTTGTTAGCACAACGTTTGCCTGCACAGCTTCATAGATTGTGCAGTATCCAAAATTGATTTGTGCTGGACTGATTTCCAAATCAGAAGTAGTAACTATTGCATGGACAGTAATGTTAACTTTTTTAGCCTGAAACAAATGCAACAAAGAGCACAGGATAAATCCCTCCATCTGTAGCATTGTAAGAGCAGGATTTAAGTGAAATATCATCCAAAAAGATAACTGCAAAAAAGTTACTCTATTCCTTGACAGTAACATATATAAATGTAACATACCTATCTTGTGAACTTCAGCCTCACTTTTCTCCAAAAATAAGCAATAGAAAATGTTTCTTCGATAAGCAAAATTAAAACAATAATACCTGTATCTCAAATTCCCTACGCTAGGATGGAATCATACCTGCATCTCCAAGGAACGTCAACTCTAAGAACATGCTACATCCGCAGTACAGATCAGAATAGTAAGATTGTCCCACAGTACCTGATGACTCTCTGGTACAAAACAAACTACCAGCGAATGGATGAGCTCTGACTAGGAAGGATTTAACTTTCCATCTGGTAAACATGCTGGCAAGAAGACACTCTCAAATCTGTATTACCACTTAAGCTGTTACCATTTTTACTATTATTGTAGGACCTACAAAGAACTCATCTAGGATTAGGCATCATTAAGTGAGCATTCTCTAAAATAATTTACATCTATTATCAGCCCAATAACCAGTGTAAGAAAAATCCCCAACCTTATCCACAATGAGTATTGTCACTGGAACCTCCAGAATTCTTGTCTCTTCATTAAAATAGCTCCTTGCATCTTGAGGAAGAGAGTGCCTAAAGATCAAAAACTACATTCAGTTGCATAAAAATACTTTGATTATTTTCTAACTAAGGGGAATAATGAAATGAACCTGGAACAATTGACCTTGTTTGTTCATGTTGGCCTTTTTAGTTCTAAAAATAGGATTTTTGACACGCAGGAGCAGAAGGGAGTTAATTCAGAGAGGTCTGCATCCATTTATGCTTTTTTAAAATGTCACCCACTCATTTTAAATTCTGAAAAATGTAAAGCTTACTTTATAATCAGAATATAAACCTCCTGCAACCACAGCACATACCCAACCCTTTGACACTGGTGTCACTTAATTATCAGCCACTTTGAGACAGAACCAATTGCACCACAAAGCACAGAGTCATAAAGTGAAACAAACTTGGAAAGCAACAGTGTCTGATTACCTACCAGAGCAATGATTTATAAGAAACACAGGTTCTCTGTAGCTGCAGCATCTTGCTATCATTAGCTCTATTTTAGATCTTCAAGCCAAGACAACACAAAAGCTGCAGAATTTTTAGCTCTGCTGGTCTATTTATAGTGTCTTACAGCATCAGGGTAAATTGCTTCCTGTTCTTAGGTCCCCACAGTGATAATGTTCCTACTACTACTGCTGGAATTACATGCAATTTTTTTAATGTATTGTTAAAGAACAGTTAATGAATAATAAATGCCACCCACTCAGTCACCATGGTGATCTGAAATCTTGCTGGAGGTTATTCTGCAAGTCTGGACTATGACTTTAGGTGATCTTCAAAGGAATTGCTAACTTGTTTAAAGATGGGAAGCGTTAAATATAGGGTAGGAATAAAGAATCAGTTTTCACTTTGTCACAGGACATCAGAATAGCAGAAGAAATTAATCTACTACAAAATAATCCAGAGGGAAAGAAAATAATTACAACTGTACATACACAATGATGGACTCTAAATTAGCTATTATGCCTTGTGGGAAAGATACTGAAATCCTTCAGACAGTTCTCTGAAAATAGCCTTTTCATGCTTTAAAGAAATTAAAAAGAAGCATACAAGACAAATCAGATTTAGATTGCCAGCATCTGCAGGACTAGTTCCAAATGTAGAAAAACTAAAACACGTGGTATCTGGGAATTCTGAAAGTCAGCACATTAGAGAATTTGCCTTCAAATAAACAGAAAAAGTCTGGTTCTGACACCCAGAAAGATGTGAGTATGGTCACATCTGAGTGAGCATTTCAGTGCCCAGAGTCCTTGGGAGAACTTCCTAAGCCTTCAGCCATCTAACTACTCACTAAGGATTGCTGAGTGAGGGTTTCTTTTTACTTTCATGTTACTTCTAATACAGCTGTTTTATTAATAGAGCCTATAATACCATGTCAATGAGGAGGCATTTTCAGAAATGTGTCACTAGCTCAGTGCTTCACATCAGCTTGTAGTGAGCTCATCCTCTGTCATACACATCCTTCCCCCGTGTGTTAGAGCTTTTAAAACTGATTTGTATGCCAAAACAGCCAGATACTTTTTTTTGTATGCCAGAAATGCCATAATCTCATCGAATTTCCTTTCTGAAGCTTCCCCCTTTTTCTGAGGAAGATTAATATTCTAAATCCAGGCTATGCCTCTATCAACTCAGTAAGTGTAACATGCTTTGCAGCATCTGAAGTTTAAGAACAGAAAAATGCCATCATAATGGTCACTGATAGGATTTGAGATGTTGGAAGGACTGTAAATACTTAGTTCTTTGAATACTAACTTAGTGACAATTTCAATATCAATTTAGCATCCAGAGATGCTGAGTGCATCAAGGAAAATCCAAATATACTTACATAGATAGGACTCGATAACCTACACGACAGAAGCAGCAGGTCTGCATCAGCAATCAACAAAGAAGCTTCTAAAGTATCTGGCTGTACATCAGAACTAAGATCTAGATCATTTAATTGATATTTGAAAATAAATGTCCAGCTAAATTCTTTAGGATGGCAATTATGAGGTAAGTAAACAGTGGTCAGCAGTAGCTCTTTATTCAAATTATAAAGAAAAATTGAATTATTTGTTTCTTATAACTGAGTTCCATTTGTATATGTAGATGTATCATGAAATAGACAAAAGAAATGCTGGGATAAGGCTTTTAGCACCTTAGAAGATGTTATGTAAAATACCACATGAAATTCAAGATCAACACATTCATATCTTGGAGAAACGTATCTATGGGTAGGAAAGATATGAACAGGAAGCCCAACTGTTCTTACCTTAATTAGCAAGCACAGGAGCTCTTGTCCAGAAATTATTTAATCAGTGATCCATGAAGTAGCCACCTGCCTAGATAACCTCTCTCTTGTATAAGAGTAGCTTCCCACAGAAACAGGAACAGCCTACCAAGAATGCAACTGCAAAGATTTTCACACTGCTGCTGTCACCACAGGAAGAGCATTTCCTCACAGGTATGTGATCCAAGTTAATTTCCTCCTTGAGCAACTGGCAACTTAAGAGGGAGAAAGGGGGAGACTAGGACTGCATTGACACCAGCAGCGTGAAATCCAGAAAAAACTCTTCTCAGGTTTTCCACTGACAGCCTCCTACACGCACCATTTTAAAAACTGAAAAGATTTAAGTTGTTACCTGGGCAGAAACTTCAGCTGCACACTGAAGGATGCCTGAGCTTGGATGTAACCTGTTTTTGGAAGCAGCTCCATGTGCTTACTCAATTCTTTGCATACTTCAAACTTCAAATGTAGCGTGGCTTTTGCTCTGCAAACAGATCAGACACTCTTAGGTGGCTTTGAGGGTACCTGTGCTGCCATCTCAGCAACGTTTGCTCTTGGAGTTTGCTTCAGCAGATCACAAGCACTTAATGTCCCAGCCTGTACTCAGAAAAATCAAAACTATGATCCTGAGAGAGCATAATACACCGAAACCATCAACAAGTACCAAGTTTGTGAATTCCAGTCCTCTTCACTATCATCATATTTATCTCAACAGTTTCAGTACCAAAACTTAAACCTACACAGGCAAGAAAAACACTGAAGCTCAGGTGGGGGGCTGCCTGATGCCTGAAATGCACTGAGAGCACTGCTGCTTTTGGCATTTCTCCCCCAAACTGTGGTGATTTTTTAAATAGATGTGAATTCACAGTTCTCCCATGACTTCTCTAACAGCAGAGATTCTACAGGGCTAGAAGTCACAGTGGGAATAAGCTGGTACTGCCAGTTCACCTGCTAAAACCTGTGATCAGTTTGCCCTCTGAATGGCACACTAGAAGCTGGGAAACATCTCCCTCTTTGCTGAATTCTGCCCATATTATAGCACAGTGATAGCCACAGACCATACCCTGCTTTGGAATTTCATGGCCAAGTGCAAAATTGCCAAGCAGTTTACAAATATTTCAGCTTGTCATTTTCCTTCTCCTGGACTGGTTTACAAGCTGTCAGTCCAGATGGTCTGCTCTAAATCAACAGCTACAGCATGTGGTACTGGAAGCCAGGAATGATTTCTGACTGCTGACAATTTAAGATTGTCATAAGTATATAATGAAGTATATACTACTTCATTAAAGCAATGCAGATTATAACCTGCCAAAGAAAATACTTTGAAAAGTGATTTGTATTGGACAGGATTCTGGTAAGAGATTTTTCATCCTTTATACTGCCTGGTTACCAATGTGACCAGAAAATAAAATCCAACCCCTAAAACACAACCAGTATTAACTTACATTTTGCAATCTCACAGGTCTTGCTGGGCACTTACATGCCAGAGCTATCTAACCTGAAAACTTGTTGTTCTACATCTGCTGTAGACTACAGTGTTATAGATCTCAGCAGCAAGAAGATACAGGCAAGTTCTTTCTGCTCTGCTTTTGGCAGATGGTTTGTGTGCGCTGGTGGTGAACAAAAGACTATTCAAACACATGACCTTTCTCAGGTCTGGGTCACATTTTGCCCTGACTATCTAAAGAATTCTCTCAGTGGTTTGTTTTGGCTTTTTATTGCTATAACTGGTTAGGGATTGGAGCAGAAATTTGTAAGAATATTCCTGAATAGCAGGAGTATTTAAGTATGTAATTAACATTTAATTAAAGAACGTCTGTTCTAGAAGTTATGCAAATAAGATTTCACATCTACTGGATCTGAACTTCAGACTCCTTAGCTAAGGCTTCCAGCAGTTGTCAGACAAGCTGCCTTTCCAGCTGGGCTGCGGTACCTTTGCTCTTCTTCAGTGAATGGTTGCTCCAAGCATTAGCACAGACAGCACTGTAGTAACTCTATAGTGGATACACCTTTCACATGTAAAGCTGTTGTAACAAATTATTCTCTTTGGTGGTATGCTGACAGCTTCTTTGCTAGCCTGGTTATTGTCCTTGGCTCTGGATCCTTTGTCTGAGCACAGTTCCAGGTCACAGACCTTCCCCAGACCACCTTCCCCAGTTTTTCACTGTTGCAATTAAAATACAGCTACTTACTAGTACAACCTAAGAAATTATTCTTGACTGATAGTAATTTCTACCTATTTTCAACAGCTGAAATTCATTCTGTTTGAGAAGTGGTTTGACACGTACCATGTACAATGAGAAATCCTCTGGTACATGCTACAGAAAAATGTCAATAGCTACTGGAGGAAGAAGCTTCTCAGGTACCACATCTGAATGAGGATATTATCTACTTTTGCAGAATAAAAAGTTGAGACAGGATATTCCGGCACATGAAATACTTTGAATTTCAGCCCAAACAAGTGTATAACAGTGACAATTTCTTCTAGCTATGGAGAACTGGGAGATAAATCAAAGACTTGATTTTGCTAAGGTACTAAGGCACATACCACATATTAAGCGCTCTTAAATTAGTGAAACTTGGCAAAGGATTAGCAGGATTTTTTCCTCTGCTAAGAATTTTGCCCTGAGCAATTTGACAGCTTCTATCTTTGGGATCCCTTGAAATCTTAAGTTTTCATTAAAAGAGTTATTCTGCTGCTATACTTCCCAGTTTTATGCCTGGGTTATCTAGACCAAATAAAATCACTTGCATAACAACTTGAGCTTGTCATATCTGTAAGCTGAATTTCTGAGATAACAGCTTTACTCAATGCTTTCCAACTGTGAAGAATCTCTGCAGCCTGTAATTCTGCTAAGTGGTTTAGAATGGATGCCTTCTACAGAACCACTCTCTCCCCCACCCTCCTACAAACTCACCCTAATCCTATTTAAATAGAATCCAAGAAGTGCAAACTGTTAAAAGAAGCATGCAGTAGTGACTGCATTAGGTAGAGAAAAGAAACCTGAAGCACCTGAAGACAAATAAAAGTTCATTTAAACACACTCTCATAGCAGGAAAGCTCTTGGAGACAATAAACCAAAATATTCTTTTTTATGTTACAGTGCAAACAGAAGTCTCCAGCCATTACTGATTTGGACTACAGAAACACCCAGGTACTTCTTCCCCCTTAAATTGCCATTTGACTACTCTATGTGTACTTCCAAGGTTTGCGTCACTCCAGTGCAGTGCTTAAGGCCTATATGGGTAAGGAGAAATTTTACCCTGCCCATGTTATAGCAGATGCAAAAGGACTAACATGATTTATCTGGCATCATTTCCCAAGTCTGGAAAGACTGGTGATGGACCTTCTCAATAAATAATTGGCATGAGCCTGGCTTTCCAGATCATAATCTTCTATGGATTTTAATTAAAAGAGATGAGAAATAACAAAATATCCTTTATAAAGTTCTTTGATTTAATTGATTATACCCAATATGCACTTAAGTTCAGACACATTTATCTCCCTGATATTTAGTGTGCAAATTCCACACAATCATACTCTGGGGTGACGATTCCCTGGGAGCCTTATAATTATTCCACAGAACAGACAGGGTGTCTTGTAGGAGTGGAAAGGCACATATTAACTCAGATGCTTCCTAGCTACTGCTGGTCTGGGAATCTGGGATAGTTAGATATCTAAGTCCAATTTCCACAGCAGTGTGGAACGCAGGGGGTTGCAATCAGGATGTCCTCCTGAAATGCCATGGAAAACCAAAACTGTTCTTTAGCTTCCTATGACAAGAAGACATGCCTGGCATAATGGAACCTCAGGGCATCACCTAAGACTTAAGATCTCATTACTCAGCTACTATATCAGGCAGCTGATAACAAAAGGGTCACTCACCTGCTTTGAATGACAATGCAATCCTGATAGACTCGGTCATACATACAGATTTTTAAATCAATGTTGGGATTGGGCACCCAAACTGGCATATCCATAGAAACTCCAACGGCACTGAAACACAGCTGTTAATACATAAATTATTAGTTTTATTGGTCTCAAATTCTTACAGATCTAGACCGAGCAAGAATTTCTGCTGTAAACTACAGCAGAGTAAAATATTTTATTAGTCATACTGCAACAGGTTCTTTAATTAAGCAAAGCTATGAAAATCATCTGTAAGATAAACCCTAGATGTTATGGTGTCACAGCAGAAAAAGAATTATACTTTGGTTTGGGCTCTTTGACAGAGAACATGAAGGAATAGCACACTGCCCATGATACCAAAAGAAATATTTAAAATGCATCTAGCTTATGTGAACGTGCCATAATGCAGAAACTCAAGAGACTGCAGCTTGTTTAGCCAGCAAGGAAACATAGTGATGGCAGCACAGTGCTGTACTTCCTACAACCACCTCAGGTCTGACAGCACTGATTACAGAGCTCAGGCTTGGATTAGATGATCCTTCAGTACACGTCTGCAGCTCCTTCTGTAGATGACTCCACCTGCAGAGCCAAGACTGGCTTACTGAGCTGCTTGGGAGGTTTTGGGGTTTTTTTTGGAAAGTTTCTGTGAACTGTTCTCAGGCGGAATTTGGCTTCCAATAAAGTGTAAAATCAAAATATAGCTGAAGTGGTAACTGAAGTTGTCATCTCTTCCAGCTTTCACACATCAGTTTCACTACTGCATGCTAAATAATTCCAATTCTGATAGCTCAGAAAAAAAATAAACTATGTGGGCTGGGAGTAGAGAAGAATACTTTTGTATCTGTTTCCAAGGCATTAGATGTTTCCTAGTATGATGTCTGCTAAAATAGGAATAGTGTGATTATTTACATTTAAGAGAATCACAGGTTTAATAACCACACTGCATCAGAAAGAAGGACCATGATTTACAAAGTTACTTCCCATCAAACCACATAATACAGAATCACATGGCGCTGCCTTGTTATTTCTTATAATACCCATAGATAGATCTGTCCTCTCCCCCTCCTTCTCCTGTTTCTAATGTAGGACTCTGAGCTCTTTTAATTCCTGGGGAAAGCAGAAGTAGGAGAATTTAAAACTCTTTTATATGGTGTTTTGAAGCAAGTCTTGCACAAAATCACTCACTGGTTTGCAGTCCGAGTTGTCAAACACAATCACAAACTCTGTCCGCACATCCCCAGGGATAGCTGGCACAAATAGGATCTGAAGTTTGACTGAGCTGAAGGGCCCAATTTCACCTTCAGTAACCTAAACAAGAAGTAATATGTCTGTAATGAAAATGGCTGCATTACTGCAGCTGGCTATAACTTGTATTGAAATAAAGCAGCAATATATACTCATTATACAGTCTACTATACCTAGTTTGTAACAAGACTCAACACACTATTACTGTATACAGAATCTTTCAACTCAAATTAAGTCTTTATAGATCAAATGAAAGAGCAAATGTGTCACGTGATTTCATTTCAAGAGTTGTGATACAGTGAAGTCCAACAGGCTAGAAATGGATTCTATGATTCTCTGCACTTTAGCGTTTCCCACCAAAGCCAAAGCAATTTATTTGACGTAGACTTAGACTAGTGAAAGTCCTGTCTGTAGCTCAGGATATTCATTACCTTTCCAAGCATAATTTCAACTGGTGTTTCTTCAGGAGAAAATTCCACTAAATTATGTGCAGTGTCTGTGTCTAGATCTGATCTGGAATTCAACATATCTTGACCAAGATGTTCTAGGGAAAAAAGAACAACCCACATATAGACCCAACACAATGCTGGATATGTGAATTTTTTGACTAGAAAATATCACAGCAGAAGTACATCAATTTTGGTCAATACTGCAAATCCAACAATGCTTACTAGTGATGGAGAAATAAGTGTCCAGAAGGAAATCTGTTTGGTCCTCTTTGCCCTAGTCCAGAAGGCCTATCTTAGGCCCTTGAGCCTTCCACTGCAGAGTAACAGGATTAATGTTTCAGTAGGCTGAAGTTTATACTGAAGATTGTTACATCAAGGAATGAAAACTCAGTTGAAAGCATGAACTAGGCTTTGAGAACAATTTCAGTGGGACGAGGCAAGGCAGACAGGAGGACCTGCAAAGCAGGTGGAAGTGTTGCTTCACTTGATCTTCAAAACAGCTGCTATAATAACTGCTTCTAATTAAACAGTCTCCCACTGAAGCTTCAAAGTGCCTTAAACTGATGCATCTTGAGAGAGACAAAGCTAATTCTGGACTGTATGGCTGTAACCAACTGGCAACCACCTGCTTCACATTAACCAGGAAAAAGATCAAGGTGTCATGAGGTACGTTCACATGCCACAGCCATGGAATATACATTTGGTTTTAACGTCTGAAAACATCTCTAAAGGTATGCGCTCTGCGGGGACAGCCACCATGACTTATGGAATCACTCCATTTCACAATACAGATCCCAGATTTAAAAATCAAAAAACACATGCAACTTTTTCATGGAACTTCTTAGTTTCCTAAAGTTGGAATGATCAATATCCAGAAGAAATGTTAAAGAATACAGATACAAAGAAATTAGGAAAGTCTCTTCTACACACTGGATTTCATTAAGCCCCTAGTAAACATCAGGAATGAGATGGAAAACGTCTGCGGAGGTTCATCTTTCTGCTTCCTTGTTTCCAGAATTACAGACTATAAAAATAAACCTGTCATGTGGATTTCTATTCTGAGCAGTGAGTATTCAGTTGCTGAGACAAGAATGATGATAACAATTTTGCATTTTCTGTAAGCTAGTTGGTTTCTGTATTCTTCTAAGACTGAATTACAGATCACTAATGAGAAGCGAGAGTCACTACTGCTTTTGATATAATGGTGTCAGTATTTTATTTTTAGTCATTTTTTTGTGAGGCAGCATACAAAGAAAGATAACATTACTATTAGAACGATGAACTACTTAATTTACTGAGTAACTCTGCAAACTGAATTCCACAGTTCTTTACAGGAAACTCTACAAAGGGATAATGCTTTACCGAGGAACTGCACTGCCAACTTTCTAGACCAGCGATCTTACGTGTGGAGCTCCTGCTCAGGATGGTCTCAGTCCTCTGTGACTCCACCTGGGTTGCACAGTAGGACATTTCTTCACTATGGTTAGAACCAATTTGTTCCTTCACTTCAGTCACAGAATTCACAGGACTGTTGCTGACTTCCTTTTCAGGGACACAGTCACTGAGATTTTGAGTAACCTATTAGAAAATACAGAAAACATATTTTCTACTGTGACTACTCACCTAGCTTGCCGCAGCCCCAATTTTATCAGGCAGCTGCAAATCAGACTTGTGTTTTCTTGCAACTGTTCCACATTATAAATGGAGAAATGTGTTGCACTTCCTGAAAACTGCACATTCTGCTAGACCTCTATCAATAAGCAGATTTAATTTTTGCTGGCTGCCCTAAAAATGTAAATGATATAATGAGAACCATATAATATGGTGTCGGTTAATTCACAATTAACAGAATCAAGATTTTTCTTGTTGAAACACAGGCAGCTCTATGTCAAAACTAAGACTGCTAAACCTATATTTCTGTTTATTACATACCTGCAAGAGATAGAATACAGAAGGAGAACCATGGATACAGTATTTACTTTCACAAATTCTTTATTTGAGCCATGCTTTTAAGGGTAGCATGAGAATCGAACACCATGGTGAGCAACTCCACAGTTTCACTGTACATACTATTCAAGATAGTGCTTCCAGAGGTCAACTCTTTCCTTAGAACTTAAAAATCGGTTAGATTATCAAGCAGAGAATTTTGAAAACTATCTGAACCACTTGCTCTTCAAAAACCAAAGCAATTAGGCTGCACTGATGGAACAAAGATGAAGTGTGTGCATTGCGTTTACAAGAACACATAAGCACCTCATAACAACAACATGTAACCTAGTAGTGATCTTGTCTCCAGTCAAGGGCCTGTGAAACCTATTAATGGGTACTACCTATAAGACACTTGAGGAAAAAGGAACATTCATGACCATGATAGTCATTAACACAGGAATTGCAAGGCATGAGCTCCTACCACAGTGTGTGGGTAGTTGGCTTTGTTTGGATTTTTTTCTTTTTGGTGCTTTTCACCTAAAATTATCTGCTAGATGGAGGAGTACAGCTTTAGGATTCCTCAGTTTCTTGTCAAGTTTGGAACTGATGTGCTGTAGGAACAATAAATAGCAGGTCTAATACCACACATTTTGTCAGCTGTGCACCAAATGCCTGAGTTTTAGTATGTTTCTTCAACAGTCTCTGCTTCATCCCCACACAGGATGTTCCACAAGACACAATATTACAGTCATTTGCATTCATTCCACTATTGGCTTGAGAACTCTTAATTTAATTCTTTTAACATTATTTATTGTTATTGTTTTCAGGTAACAGCCATCAATAGAGAGGGGAATTTTTCTATTAATTTAGGGAAATGCTTTTGAACCTACCATTCTTCCATGATCCGATTCTGCTGATGGTCTTTCTGTATGTCTATCACCTGCTGATGTTCGAACTCTGAATCTCGTTCCCAAAGCTCCACTGTTTGTCAGGCTGATGGTCTGTGAAACTGTCTCTCCCACCACATGGCTACCAAAGTCAATGAGCTCTTTATCTAGTGCCAGCTGTGGTAAGATAAACCATTAATTACTACTGGCCTAGATAGTCAGCAATGTCCATTAAATGAGCATCCACCTTTTCAAGAATAAGACTTCAAAGTTCTTATTTCAAAGAGGGTATCAAACAACAACATGAATTGTGGGTATCCTCCTGCCTTTTTGTAGAAGCCAGTTCATTACAACATCCCGTTAAACTGAGCCACTTCCATTTCAGTCCAGTGTATGACAATGGAAAAAACAGGTTAAATTCTGCTCATAGTAGCAGCTTGCCTAAGTCTTCAGGTAGTTACTCTGGAAGTAGGTCATATTTACATTCCAATTCAACATTGTTACTCTTGTGTTAAAGAAAAATGGTTCTACTAGTACCAAGCTGGGATGCAAGCAGCATTTAACATTATACAGTGACTACATATTAGTTTGTACCAGAAGGTAGGTAGCTAAAAAAGGTTAGGTTAGTGCTATCTGTAGATCCATCTCTTAGCAGTAAGAATATTATGTTCTTTACCTAAAATTCATTATCATACTCTCAGAAGATTGAGATGCTGAAAGAAAGGAGGTCTTATATGCTTTTTATAAATGTTAGAAAAGATAGAAAGATACTGTGTGATTTTTGTCTACATAGGATATTGAAGTTAAAGTACTGCAGGTCTGGGATGGAATTCCCAAAATATCCAAGGAAAAAAACCTCTCATTTCCAGCCACTATTTCTCTTCCCTCCATTCACAACATAACATTGTGTTATCAATTTTCAACAGTCACTTACAATGCATCTTTTGGCTGTACATTTCAGTGGGACAGCGAAAGAACCTTTCTGTGCCATAAACAGGACTTCTCCTTCCAGAGTTTCGTTTATCTAGGAAACAACAACAAAATCCCAACCAAGTATTTTGCAGAGATTTAGCCTGTGTATTCTGATGAAAAATATTTTTATTCATTCTTAAATATTTTTAAATGTATCTGTACAGATTCTACATTTCCACTTTAAAGTCTCCGGTAGCTTTAGCCATGGGATACAAATCTTTTGATCTTGAGCAAGTTTCAAAACATACTCCAGGAACACTTAACTGAAAGGCACTTTTCTAAAACATGCCCTTAGAAAATGCCTTATTAACAATTCAACAGAGCTCCAACATGCATGCAGTTGTCCAAGGACCACCTTTTCTAGCAAGGCATTTTGTTTCCTTGTTAACAGTTAAATTAACAATGTTTTTAATCAGACCAGTGGACTATAGTAGGATTCTCATTGCTGTGTAACTTAGCACTTAGGTGCACTCACCATTGGCTTGAATGTTACCACTACCTCACACGACATTCCCGGAGACATTTTTCCAGGTGGGTCAAAACTATAGAGATAATTAACATAAAACTTCAAATTAGAGCTATGTATGAAACATTGGGCTCCTATTCTGGGAACAATGGCAGATTATTATTTTTTTCCCCCCATTTGCATTAATTACATAGAAAAGTCAGAATGAGTGACAGATTAATGGTGAACTACAGAACCCTGCTGCAACTGTAAAACTGCAAAGGCTGATTCTTCACTGAGGATTCTACTCGGAAAGTCTTAAAGTACTTTTAAAAGGCAAAAATTACTGCCTTCCTGCTACAGACGAAGAGACTCTAGCTAAACAGGTGAAGCTGGGGCTCAGTAATATCATCAACACCTATTTGAACAACTAGGAAGCAGTCTTCTGCCACTACCCATTTTGCGTGTTGCTCTGTAACATCTCCCCTGTCCAAAGAGAACATGAAGGCGGGGGGGGGGGGAACCCAAGCAGGTAGCTGCAAACGATTAAGAGAATGTGCTGCTTGCTGCAAACTGCATCAAGATCATCTTGAATGGAAACTGACATTCGTTTCAGTGCCTCATTCCATCGACTCTGTGATACAAGTAAAATGTCTATCAGGACATTGAGTCAGAATCATGCTGTGAAGGATGGTGGCTTGTGAAAGATTTGCTTTTCCCTAGAAAGAAACTTGGGTCCCCTTTTACCTCTTTGTGCCAACTGAGGCCCTTTCCCCTTTTTTAAAATGGTCTGACTTTTGTGAAAACAGCTCTCTACTTGTTGAGGCTGGCAACCACCACAGGTGTACGCTGCTTTCCACAGGTCAGGGACTGTTCCCTTGCTACCACCAATGACCTGCAGCCCAGGCTCTGTAAACCTCTTGCTTCTCAGCTCTGAGACGCAGTTCTTTTCCTCATCACACAGGAAAAGAATATAGCAATTTAGATGTATTTACTGAAATGTTTCACTTGCTACAGAATTTGGTTACATCTCCTGCTGTGGTACAAAGGTAAAACAAGCAACAGTTAATTTTACTTACTGAACACTGATGAAGTCCTTGAGCCATTCACTGATTCCCACTAGTCTGCAGCAATCAACACTGTAGGATGCATTTATCAAGACTATCTTCTTTTTGTAGACTTGACCAACATCAAAATCCTTGGAATACCAAACATAACAACTGGTGTGAATTACAGAAGTAGCATTTACACATGTAATGACAAAAGCAGTTGCTTTTACCATAGTTGTGCTTCACAGACCTAAATAGCAAAACTAAGTAGTTTATGGGCTGCATCAAAAGGAGTGTGACCAGTAGGTTGAAGGAGGTGATCCTGCCCCTCTACTCTGCTCTCATGAGACCTCACTTGGAGTATTGTGTGCAGTTCTGGTGTCCTCAGTATAAAAAGGACATGGAACTATTGGAACAAGCCCAGAGGAGGGCCACGAGGATGATCAGGGGATGGAAGCACCTCCCATATGAAGACAGGCTGAGAAAGCTGGGGCTGCTCAGCCTGGAGAAGAGAAGGCTGCGTGGAGAACTCACAACAGCCTTCCAGTATCTGAAGGGGGCCTATAAGGATGCTGGGGAGGGACTCTTCATTAGGGTCTGTAGTGATAGGACAAGGGGTAACGGGTTAAATCTTAAACAGGGGAGTTTAGACTGGATATAAGCAGGCAGTTTTTTTACTGTGAGGGTGGTGAAGCACTGGAATTGCCCAAGGAAGTTGTGAATGCTCCATCCCTGGCAGTGTTCAAGGCCAGGTTGGACAGAGCCTTGGGTGACATGGTTTAGCATGAGGCATCCCTGCCCATGGCAGGAGGGTTGTAACTTGATGATCTTAAGGTCCTTTCCAACTCTGTTCTATGATTCTATGATTTAATCTGGCTATGATTTACCTAAGAGATTGCTAAAGAAAAAGGCAAGTACTGTTTCAGGTTTGACTGAAGACCTATGAAAGACAACAAGAAATTATTCTTTTCTTCCTAGTGCAACAGAATTTTGATCAAGATTGTCCTGGTTTAAGCCCAGCCAGCAGCCCAGAACCATGCAGCCGCTTGCTCACTCCTCCCCTTTCCTCCCCCTGCTCCTGGAGGGATGGGAAGGAGAATCGAAAGAATGTAACTCCCACAGGTTGAGATAAGAGCAGTCCAGTAACTAAGGTATAACACAAAACCCCTATTGCTACCACCAATAATAATAATGATAAGGGAAATAACAAGGGAAGAGAACACAACTGCTCACCACTCACCAACCGATACCCATTCCGACCCCAGCAGTGATCTAGCCCTTCTGGGAGCTGTCCCCAGTTTATATACTGGGCATGACATGCTGTGCTATGGAATACCTCTCTGGCTAGTTTGGGTCAGGTGTCCTGTCTCTGCTCCCTCCCGGCTTCCCCTCCTCCGTGGCAGAGCATGAGACTCAGAAAGTCCTTGGTCAGAGTAAACATTACTGAGCAGCAACTAAAAACATTGGTGTTATCAGCGCTGTTGCCAGGCTGAAAGTCAAAAACACAGCACTGCACCAGCTACTAAGAAGGAGAAAAATGACTGCTGCTGCTGAACCCAGGACAAAGACATTGGTGTATATATATATATATATACAGTAGATACACATATCATCTTTAGAGATCCTGTGCAGAATGACCACTAACCTTGAAATGAATGCAGCTCGGTTTGCTATAGAAAGCACATCCTTTATGTTCATGACAAGAAGCTATTTGCTTGTGAAAAATTCCAGTTGGGAATTCCTCCTTTTTTTTCTGAGAAATTCCTTTTTTCACTACCCTTGTAGCCAGTTGCTTTAGATCCATTTCTTCTTGAGGTATCTAATAAGGAACATCCGTAAAAACCACCATTATGGTCAGGAAGTGTGATCAGTTTGTGTTCACATACCTCCAAACTAAAACTGAAGTATCGTTCTCTCTTTAAGAGAACAAATGCTATAAGAATAGTATCCAATAGTCATTATATCTGAATCTGTGCATGTATGTGCTAATTTCAAGTCTTCATTTTAACTGTGAAATAGATAATTACTGGTTTTAAGTAAGGTTCCAAAGCAGCACTTGCCAGTGTCATTAATTCAGGTGGCCTCAACTGCTGGAGAGGCAAATGAAGCTTTTCTAATCTATCAGGATACTTTTATGTATACCATCAAAATTTTGTAAGGACTAAGTTCACAAGGAGTCAATTACAAAAGTATCTCATCCACTTTTTTTCCCTTTTCTATTTCTTATAAGAAATATCATAGTATTTACCTTGTGCAAGTCACATTCCTGACTCCAAAGTCCTGGGAACTCTGGCTGTACTAGGATCTTGTCCCTATCTTCCTCATCTTCACCACTTTCACTGAACATGCTGTGGGGTATTTCTGCAGAAATCTCTCCTACAGAAGCACTTCTCTCACCAGCCAAGGAAGTAGCTGATGCTCCAGCTGAATGTTTGCAGGCCTTCTCGATGTACTGCCATGTCTTCATTCTCCATGGGAAAGGGTCCTCAGGTTTACAGCCACCCTTTGTTGCCTTAGTGCAGGACTGGCTCTTTCTCCGCTTGTGAATAGAAGCTTTTTCTTGCAGAATTTGAGAAACAATCTCAATTTTTCTTGATTTTTGCTGTTCTCTAAAAGCTCTGTAATCCAATGTTGAAAGAAATACTAAACCAACTGTGGTTGTTTACTAATAGTAACTACAGTCCAGTTTCTTTTGAGCCTTTAGAAAGTCTTTAAATTGGGTGCAGTGGCAATTTGTGTCAAGACATAAGGTAATTTGAAGGCTATTTTTACATTTTTATGGACTAAAAAGTTACTTCCTTTTGCATATAATTCACAAATATATATTGAGGCTGAAATAGAGAACACTAAGAATATCCCTTCACAGAAAGGGAGAAAGGCAGAGCCTTGGGAGAACTACCTAAGCAGTTCCTCAGCAGATTAGCAGGACAGTAGATGAAATTAGAGAAGATCTGCTGTGAGAAACATGACACAACTAACAATAAAACTAACAAACTGTCATCTTCCCTGGCCTGCAAAGGGAATCAAGAAAGGGGAGAAAGGAAGCAAGGTGGAAAGGACTGAACATAGAGTTGGATATTTCCAGCAGCTCTCTACAAACTGATATGATTCTTTTATTAACATGAATTTTAGAACATATTTAGGGATGGCAGAAGTGGTGGTACGCAGCTATTAAGAGCTAAGCTTTATTTAATCAAAACTTAAGACTTACTGAATCTTTACTTACTGAATTTCTATCACTTGCTACAGATTACTGCACTTGTAGGCTATCCAGCATGCAGAAACATACACTTCAGCCACCCTGTTTGGTATTTTAGCTCAAATTCTTCATCTTAAGTGGTTAAAAACAATAATTAAGGTGAGATACAGGTACATTCCTATCAACTTTGCTACAAAGGCAGAAGAGTAATTTCAATCAGAAAAAGCACAAAGGAGAGTACAGTTACTTCAGGCATCCAGTTTAGGTTCATTGATTTTCCCTCCTGGAGTAGTTTATCTTCTTTGTACTACTCACAGAATGTTGGCTCCTAACTATAGTTTTCTGAATAATACACCTAAGCTCAAAGTTTAAATCACTTTAAAACCGACTCTGCAAATATCACACATACAGCGCATGAGTTCACTCCCTTGAGACAGCATCCTAGATGTTCATGTTTTCAGAATGTGGCTAAGAGCTCCAACATATTCCTGCATGAGCATCAGTAAGTAGCTGAAACTTTTGATACAGATATGAATACTTACTGTTTCTCTTCTTCATGTTTTAGCAGTTGTTTACGAAGAAAAATTTCCTTGGCAACATTGCCTTCTTCTGCTAGAATAGCTTCCCTCATTTTCATCTCCTGCTTCTCTGCCTCTAAGGCCTTTGCTTTGTTCCAAGCCCGGAGAGCTTGGAGTTTTTCCTATGAAGCCATAGAAACCAGTTACATAGTTGAGTCGCATGCTAAAGAATATATAACAGAGAATCTAGTGTTGGTGCCCTTACCCAAGTATAAATTGTGGTAGATTTCTGTGAAGTAGAACTTACTGTTTTTAACATACACAGCAGTCATGGTGTGCTGAGATGCAGAAAGCTCTAATGAGGTCAGGGCTACTTCCATACCCTTCTAGCCTGTCCTTGAAATGCTACTCAAGGAAGCAATGTGAAAAGATACAGTTCTAATCAAAATGGTATTAAATTAAGATCATTCACTCTGATTCTACAGAACATAAGTAGAAAAGCAAAGCAGAATAGCTCAGAAATTCTTAATTCACATTATTGAATTTAAGTAACTGTTTTGCTTCCATATGTTTTCTCTGTATGAAGCATTTCCACATTGGGATCCAAATAGCTGAAAATGCTTCTGGCTGAGTTTTCAGAGACCTTATTTGCAGTATGTATCATTTGCAAAGGAGCTACCCTACCAGAACCATTATACTGTTGACAGAATAAACTCCCCAAGTACAAGTGTCAAAATCTGCCCATGCAAATCTAACACCATTACTCCCACAGTTAAATTCTCCACATTTGGAGGAGATTTGGTTGGTGATCTGACAGCATCACACAACAATTCTGACAAGAATACTGAAATTACTTGCATTAAACCCTAACAGTCTAAGAAGTCAATCTCTTCATTCCCTAAGCCATGGCAGCAGCAGTACCCTATTGGAAGTTAGGCTGGTTTTCAGGGAAAGCACAGCTTGTATCCTTCTCTCCATATGCTCCCGAGTTTTTACTTCTTCCTTTGCATTTTTTTCACGAATTCTGTAAGCAAAGTAAAATCTTTCAGGCTCATATCCTGGAAAGCTTTTAGTATTAGAATGTTTAACCTGACAAGTAGTAATTGTCAATGTCACCAAACATTCTTCCTGTAAGCCTCTGTGTTTACTATGCTGCTGGGTGTGGGTAAAGTGGAACAGTTGGAAGACTCTTCTATATTCGGTACCGCTCAAGCTCCAAGTGCCAACAGGCTTTCAACTAGTTTGCTCAACAACTTTTTTTGTAAATTTTGAATACGAAGAATGTGTTCCACATGATGACATATGTCTAGTTACTAAAATAAAGTAAGAACTCAGGTTTTGCTCATATAGCCAATATTGAAACAATTACATAGTGAACTTTATACAAGCCAATTACTTGTACGCACAGTAAAAATAAACCCTAGAAACTCTCTGAACTCTTAAAGATAGCAATATGTGGCCACAGATCAAGCCTGAGATACTGCAGCTAATATAATGGTAAACTAGAAAGAGGGTGTGTGTATACACATATATATATACGTTTCAAATTATTATTAATGCCTATAAATAGTCAGACCCTTCTGCATCTCAAAGAGACGGTCCCTTCAGCTACAAGGAATCTGAAGCTTGTCTCAGGATAGTGAGTGGATTTTTTTCTTTCCAAGTCTCTACCTGCCATGTAAGATTTGACTGCTTCATAGCACTGGTACTGTGGCAGATTTCCAAGTGTAACATAAGATACACCTAGCAGAAAAATGAATATTTTCCAAAGACTAAAGTATTGTACACCAGAGGATGTACAATGACAGAAAAGCAGTGAACAATAACCTTGCCATGCTCTTTCTCAGGAAGCAAAATGCTTTTTCATGGTTCCTTTTGGCATCTTCAAGTATTTTTTTACGCTTTTCTTCATATTCTTTCTGGGCTTCCTTCTCTTTTCTACAAAACACAGGCAAACCAACAGTTGCACAGGAGTAAGTAAACCTTGATTTTAACACAATGACATCTAAGGGTGAGGTTGGGGAGTTTATTAATATGTGCTGGAGGACATTAGTCTCTGCCTTTCCCCTGTACAATTTCTTGTTTTCACAAAACCCACAGCCAAATTAATAAGGGGTGTCACAGTGCCTGCTTTCTTTTCAAGAAATCTCAGTGAACTTGATCATCAGTTCAGAAGATCCCAGCAGCCAACAGAAATGCAGACGCACACAGTCAGTCTGATCTAATAAACTTCATTTCCTTCAACAAAAAGCTTTCATAGTTTGTCTTTAGCACATTTATTTCCATAGCTCAGAAGTCTTTACCTGCACAACTGCAAGACTGTGGGCAATTCTTAATTTAATTCCATTTCCTCATAAAATGTTCCTGAAGCAACACCCAGCTAAGAAACACAATACCACTAGTATTTGAATTAACTAATCTTCTCAACACCTGAAATAGTGAATTGACTAAAAATAATGCAGAGAAAGGACGCAGAGTCTGTCTTCTAGGCACTTACTTCGCTCTAGACTGTTGATTTTTTTCTGCTTGCAGTGCTGCTATTTTTGCCTCCCAAATCTGCACTTCTGCTTGGTCTTGGTATTTCATCTCTAGCTCCTCCTCATCTTTTTTAAGTCGTTCATAGAGAGTTTCATATTTTCCCTGCTCAGTTTCTATGCGCCACATTCCAAGCCTTTAAAACAAAGTGTGAGTTGTTTCCACTGAAATGCTGACTTTTTTCCACTTACTTCAGGCTCCTGAGTAAGTAAAGGCCAGAGAGAATGAAAATCTAGCCATGTTTTATTTTGTCTTTTTCAATTATATTGTAAATCATACCCTGTTACTGACACAGGTATTGTACCTTTCAGACCAATGCTGCTATCTAATATTATATTTAAAGACACTAAAAATATCAGTCAAAAAAAAGAGGTAAAAAAAAAGTTCAAGGTTCTGTTTTCCAAATTCACATTAGAAAATTAGAAAAATTAGGAAAATAGCTTTTTCTCCAACAGTAAACAACTCCAGGGACAGGCCATAGCTTTTATTCTATGCTTTACTGAAGGAATTGAGATATGATAGTGATAGACATAAACAGATTAATAGAGTTATTCCTAATCACACAATAAAGAGCTCAAGCATTTTAAAGCTATAATACAATGCTACAGCAGAACACTCTGCATTCTGGTTAACCACTTGGTTAAGGACATCTATAAGCTGGTCCTTGTGTTCCTCCTTTGATGTAGGGGCATTAGTAGTGTCATCTCTGGTGTCGAAATATAAACACACTCTCCTGTTGCCTTCTGCAACTTATTCTATATAAGTAATTTAGTATGTGCAGCTAAAAGGGAATATTAGCTTAGCATAAACATACATAGGACCACTACAATGTCTCCATCATTCTCAATTTCAATCTTTTTCCTTATGCCCTATAAAGGAAGTATTTATGCTCAGAAATCAGTACCACAAGCAGGTTTGCTTTAGTCCAGCTTAGTTTCCATTTAAAATGGTTTAGGTCCACATTTTATGCATAACCCTAAATAAAATGAAAACTTCATTTATGTGTGCAAAACCAACTCAGGGACTAAGCCACAGCAACCAAATTTCTAAGCAATGGACTCTTCATGCTACAAATTGCTCTCCAGGTCCTTTGTCTCGCAGCCAAACTCACATGACCTCAAATGATGTAGCTCAACATTTACAAACAACTCCTGTAGTGATTAACTTTTGAATTTTTAATAGATTCAAAAGTTAATCACTACAGTACTGTTTAATATGCTGCTTAATACAGCATCTGAAGAACATAATAAAGATTAACTCCCATCACATTGTCTCCTCATGCCCTCACTTACGTGTCATCCTTTATTGTCAAAGCAATTTTCAACTCCAAATCTTTCTCTTGCTCCAGTTCAGTGCACAGTCGCCTGTGCACTGCCCAAAGGCGGGACAAGGCTGCACTGTTAACATTAAAAAGAAACGATCAGCAAGAAACTGGAACTAATAAAGGTTAAAAATTAATACACCCCTCTCCCAAGATCAGCAACAATGGAAAATAGCTTTAAGGCTGAGATTTATGTATTAGAATTCCTCTAATTTATGCAGTCTTTTATTTTGCCTTCCAAGCATCTGTTCTTCATTCAAAAGTGAAGCGTTCTATAAACCATTATACGTTGGTTGAAATAGAATCATAGAATCATAAAATAGTTAGGGTTGGAAAGGACCTTAAGATCATCTAGTTCCAAGGCCCCTGCCAAGGGCAGGGACACCTCACACTAAACCATGTCACCCAAGGCCTCGTCCAACCTGGTCTTGAACACTGCCAGGGATGGAGCATTCACAACTTCTCTGGGCAACCTATTCCAGTGCCTCACCACCTTAACAGGAAAGAATTTCCTACTTATATCCAACCTAAACTTCCCCTGTTTAAGTTTTAACCTGTTACCCCTTGTCCTATCACTACAGTCCCCAATGAAGAGTACCTCCCCAGGATCCCTATAGGCCCCATTCAGATACTGGAAGGCTGCTATGAGGTCTCCACGCAGCCTTCTCTTCTCCAGGCTGAACAGCCCCAACTTCCTCAGCCTGTCTTCATACAGGAGGTGCTCCAGTCCCCTGATCATCCTCGTGGCCCTTCTCTGGACTTGCTCCAACAGTTCCATGTCCTTTTTATGTTGAGGACACCAGAACTGCACACAATACTCCAGGTGAGGTCTCACAAGAGCAGAGTAAAGGGGCAGGATCACATCACCTCCTTTGACCTGCTGGTCATGCTCCTTTTGATGCGGCTCAGGATACGGTTGGCTTTCTGGGCTGCAAGCGCACACTGCTGGCTCATGTTCATTTTCTCATCAACCAACACCCCCAAGTCCTTCTCCACAGGGCTGCTCTGAATCTCTTCTCTGCCCAACCTGTAGCTGTGCCTGGGATTGCTCCGACCCACGTGTAGGACCTTGCACTTGGCATGGTAAACTTCATAAGGTTGGCATCAGCCCACCTCACAAGCGTGTCAAGGTCCCTTTGGATGGCATTCCTTCCCTCCAGCGTATCAACCAAACCACACAGCTTGGTGTCATTGGCAAACTTGCTGAGGCCGCGCTCAATGTACAGAGGAGGACTGATTTCAAAAGCACGGACCTGTAACTTAATATGACTATTAATTTCTCACTAGTAAAAGTACTAGTATTAATGAAAATAAGTTCAGGTGAACCTGGAAAACTCTGTATGATTTTGCTTTTAAAAAGGTATTACAATATTACATGCATTCCACTTACAATGGCAGCATTGTCACACAGTTGTTTATCATCCTTGGTGGTCTCTATCCAGGAAAACCAGTAGACAGCGTACTACATAATCAACAGTGAACTATGTTCAACATAAACTCCCTTCCTCTAAATTAACATTGAAAACTGATCTTCTACCTGAACTTACTACTCGAACTTCAGAATTTTTGTACTGGGCATCAGTAATGCTAATGGTAGCTGGTATTTTCTTTATTGCTAAAACATGATGCCTTTGAGCTGCATAAGCTAGAAACGTATTAAGACTTTTTACTCAACTATTCACTTGCTAAATGTAATAGATTGTGAGAACTGTTATTTTTCTGCATGTCTAGACTTCACAATTTGACCCATCATAAGCATAGCATAAGAACTACAATGCTTATCTGTCTTTGCTAGTAGTTGTTACTGTCTCTGAACAGGGAGTACCAGCACCCATCAAGAAGTTCATTAGCATTCAACTAATCATTTTTCTTTAAGCAGCTATTCCATTTTGGTAGCTAACCCACCTTTATAATTCTATCATTCACCAATATACTAACTTGAAGATTAACACAGGTCATGAAATGCAGCTGCGAAGTTTTTTCACAATACACTGGTGCCTGGTACACAAGCCACCCACTTCTTTCTATTTAAACCAAATGTGAAGAGCACAGTGAATCGCCTCCCACTTTACAGCACAAGTGTCTCAGCACAGCTCCTGTATGCAGAACTACTCCTGAGAGGCATTCATGCATTTCACAACATCAGACACACAAACCAACCAAAGAAATGGCAGATATATATATGAATCCTGATTGGAATAATTACGAGAAGCAAAACCATGACCACTGAAATTGCCATTGCGCATTGGTGTTGGTTCATCACATTGAACAGAAGTGATTGTGACCCTGATAAATGTTAATTGACAGGAGTGGGTAAATAACCTCTTGTTTTTATATTTTAAAATATATGCCTCTTTCCTATCCATTCTTATTTTTTTCTGCATTGAATTACCTGACAGAATATTACCTCTAGCCCAGAAAGCTTAGAGATTAACAATCCCCAAGCCAATGCACCATTATTCATTAACTACATACAGATAAGCCTAGTGAATGCCTGTAATCTTCGGTATCCAGAAATACTCTCTACCTACATGTTGCCAGCCTCCTCCTCTTTCTCAATTTCAGTGCCTACATAATCCAGATGCTTTGCTAGCATCTTGATCCGCAGTTGACAGGTACTCAGTTTGTCTCTGCAAGAAACAAATGGATTATTCGTATTTTGCAAATTCTTTACTCTTCCTGATGAAACTCTTCATTGTGGAAGAAGATTCACACCTAGGATTCCTTCAAGTCCCCAACTCCCCACAATTTTTCTTTTAAGATCTTACTCTGAGGTTCTTCAGAAGTCCTTGTTAACATCAAACATTTTCTCCAAAAGTCCCGAAAAATGTAACAAGAGTTTTTTCTGACTTCATCCATATTCAGATATTACCAAAAAAGACAACAGCATAAACAGCATCTTCTTACATCAGCCTTCTTCAGGTATATTTGTTACTAAAGAATATCTTTGTGACCTTAACAGAGAAAACCACTCATTTTTGAGTGCTTAAAGTATCTTCACTGATTCTAATGCATCATTTCCATCACAATTAAGAAAATGTTTACAATTAATTTTCCACTTGATGTTTCCAGCCGACTGTTGAACCAGCACGATTGTGCATACATCTAATTCACATCAAATTCTCCCAGACCAAACACCTCCTCTTCAACATTTACTTCTGTATTTAATTTTTTCAAGTACATAATTAAATTTTATCCTTGATCCTTAATTCATTACAAGGGGTTGGGATATATTGAATATATTATATTAACCAAGTGTTTGCATCACATTACTGTCCTGAAAAGAATCTATAAACTCTAATATTTTTAAGAGATGCAGTATCCCAGTACTGGATGGCGATTTATGCTGATGGATTATGTTTACTTAAACACTAACCTGTGTTTTTGGACCTCGAGTTCCTTTTTTCTGGCTATGTCATTGAGCTCTTTTAGGTTCCTCTGTAAGCGCAATAAGCAGATTCTATCTTTATGCTTCATGGCCTGAATATTATTAATGTCACCCAGATTTTGTTTCAAGCTTTCCCTTTGAATTGAAGCACATGAAAATATAAGAAATGGAAAAGTTACATGAAGTTTGTACATCATCCACTTACATATTTGAGGGTTGTTTTCTGTTTTACTCTTGTGCTAGCAGAACAGTCACAAATATGACCAGTATAAATAAGGAAAAAAACAAACATAATCTGTACAAGTTTACCTAAATGCACTTAACCTGAGATTTTTAGACTTGGGTATCTAATGTTGGACATTTTAGACCCACAGTTAATGTATTAATTATATGTCTCAGCTTTGAAATGCCTGTGGCTCCTCTTGATTATAGCTGGGGTTTAGAGATTCTACTTTTCCTGAATAATACTTTAACACTTTAGAGGGAACATGCTAAACTATTTTAAAACATTATATACAGCTGATGGGTTTGTGGGGTGAGCTAATCTCTCTTACCATTTCGGTTTGCTTAAACATATACCAAGAAGAGGTCTGAAGGTTTGGGGATTTTTACATCATTTTGATGTATTTGAATTTCTCTGTTGATAATGGTAAGACCACCAACATTTACTGGCAGTAGGTATATGTGCTACACAACTTCCCACATACACATATTAATAACCATTATTGGAAACTTTCATCATGCCAGGTCATTCCAGAACAGCAATTAACAGTCTTGTCAAGGCAAGCCAAAACATGGACTCATATTTGTGAGGACAGAAGCAACTACTTAAGGCCACGTTCAAACCACTAAATTCCTGTTCATTCACAACCTCTGTTATATGTCAGTTTATTACTTCAGGAATAAATCCTCTGTATCACCTACTTATAAAAATCAGTGTAGTACTAATCTGTCATCGTGCCAATTCTGTGCTAATTGACTTTACACAGTGGTACAAAACTTTTTGTACCACTGAGAAAAATTAAGAAAAACGACAATGCAGCACTTCAGCAGCCCAGCTTGTCTTCTTCCAGCAGCTCCTAATGTTCTACAAAAGCACAGAGGAATACAAACCAAACACTATGCATCACTGCAAAGAGCTGGATGGGTTTTAAAAGTGTAAACACTGATTAGTGTAATACTCCTTTGAGGAAAGCTAATTAGCTCACATTAACGTGGTGCAATCATTGTGTTCTATGTACATACCTACAACAGCTTCAGATTATAAATGTCTTAATCTTACTCAGCTCATTGTTTTAATAGCAATCATCAACTTTTTTTTTTTGTGGAGAGGTCTGTATAGCCTATGACTAATCGAACAACAGACGTACAGCTGAATTAACCAGGTAAGTTAACACTTTAAAGGAAGTTCTGTTAGAAACGGTAACAAGTTATTTACATGCTAGAACCAGGTTTGTCTCCAACTCGTTCAGAGGTGTCCTTGTTTCCCATCTTGCCATCACCAGTCAACTCTTCTTCAACCTTGGATTCTAATAGATATTAAAACAAGTACTTAAAATATTAAAATAATTTATTTTGGTGAGCTAGCAAAATAATTCCTCATTTTCACCTTTCCACCATTCTTCCACATTATAGAGCTGACCAGCTTTGTCTTCTTTTGCTTCCTCTTCCAGAAATGGTAGAGAAGATTTTTGCTCTTCTACCTCACTGTAACTGCTCTCATTATCTTCCATACTGGTAGTCCTTTCAAATCAACCAGGCTGAGAAAGAAAAGAACTCATACTTTATAGATATATAATCTCTAGGAACTCATAGTAGTGGTGACTATCCCTTGAGATGATTTAATAGCATTAATTACTTAATGCATGTGAAAGAACTGGATACAAGCACAAACCTTTGTACCAGTCCCACATTATGAGTATCCACTTCAATAGATCTCTTATAGAGAAGCAAGGACACTGCTGTTTTAGTTCTTGGATTTTATAATTATCAGTTCAATAACAAAACAAACCTGAATGTATTTTATCCACTTAGCAACCACATTACTCAGAATGGTTACGGAACAACTCCGATTGCTCTTGTATCCTATGCAGCCATCCACTGTTAGGTAAACCATTCTCAAATAGTGATAAAATTTATTAGAATTCAGCAAATTCTATATATCATCTAGAATGAGTTATTACCACATCGTTGAGCATTTCATTAAGATCTTTTACTAATACAGAGGCTTGTACATCTGATTGATTTTAATGAAGGTGGTGGCTCAGCTTTGAGTGCATTTCTGTGAATCCTTTTGCAGAATTCAAAACATGAACTAGAAGAGAGGATCTATTTTATCCTGTTTGGCACAGAGAAAACACTCCATGGACTCTGAAGTACAGGGTAGGCTAAATTGTAAGAACCACCTTAAAGCCAAGACAGAATTCCTGCAACAGGCTACAGTTAAGCATGCCAGCGGCGCTAAAAAGTAACACAAACATAAAACAACCTGCCAATGCGCCAGCAGCAGCCAGAATACTTTCTGCTGAACTGCACTGTCAGGTAGCACGAGTCCAACACCGACACAACAGAGCTGTGGGTAAATTAAAAATGTACAGCATGGCGCGAGGCCCGAAGGCCTTCCGCAAGGAAACCCCTGGCCAGCGACAGATGCCAAGACACCATCCCGACACGGGATCCCCACTGTCAGGCAGCGGCACCCCACACAAGGGACACCCCACACCTTCTGTGGCAACGCCCGCCCTCACCTCAGAACCTCAAATCTTGTCCCCACAGCCACTCAGCTCCACTGCCGCGCTTGACGACCGTTAGCGCCGCTACCACGGCAACGGAGCAAACCACCGCAGACAGTAGCAGGGGCGCCGGGGGGAGCGCGTCTCCTGCAGCCGCTGCTGGAGGGCGGAGCTGCTTGCCTGGAACCCCCTCGGCATTCGCGGTGGTGGTGCGCGCCGGCGGGGCCCTCCTGACAGAGCGCGAGACCAGCTCCCCACAGCGAGTTCCCGCCTCTAAGATTGCCCTTTCCTAAACCCGCAGAGCGCAGGGCGGAATGCACGGGTTTAATCAAACCAATGAATACAGAGATTTGAAACAGCTGAACAGTTAGTCAGGGGTTTCTTGCTTGACGATGATTTTACTTTCAGTAGTGTAAGTTAAAATATGAGCCACTGCAACACACAGCATCTTTCCCGTTTGGACTGGCAAGTGTTCTCGTACATTTCTGTGAGCTTTAACACGTGCTCCCATAGGATGACTGGCACTTCAGAGATCCGAGAGCATTAACGCTTCTGGTGGCATTGATGCAAGTTACCACACAGGTGAGCAACTGTGCCAGGGGCACTGCCCAGTCTGTCTTGAGCACCAGTTCAGGTGATGTTAGGTAAATTTAATGAGGTTTTTTCAGCTTAGTGTTCATTCTACATGCATTTATAAATTTTAAGCAAGTTGGTGGCATTATAATTAGAAATAATCTTTAGCGAATTTGCCTGACTTTATAAAGATTTGAGGTTGGAGTACACACACTTTAGAATACTGAAAAGTTCCGAGTTTCAATCCAGAATGAAGCTGTCTCAAATGTCTTCTCTGAAGTAAGCCTGGACTATTCTGACAATAGTATGTCACCATTAGTTACTAATTAAAGTTTATAGCAAAAAGCCTATGTACTGATCATGGTGCCCATTTGTAATGTCACATTCTGAATGCTTCCTTTAGCTTCAGCAGAAACTGCTGGGTCTGAGGTTCCTTGTAACATCTTAATACACTATAAGTATACATAAAATCACTAAATTTTAAATTATTTAGATGATGTTTTGGTATTTTTCACAACAAAGCCAAATATCTATATTTAACATGTGTCTCGGTTGGAATACTTTGTTCCTCAGAAGAATCTTCTGTTCACTGCTGTGTGTTTGGTTACCAGATTTTAGCTCTTCATTGGTAATAACTAGGTTCCTTTTCTATTTCTTGTATTACCTTGACAGTTAAGGGACAGTGCAGTTCAATTCAGAGCAAAGCAGATTCTTGTCCCTTTACTGCTGGCACTAGGCCTAAATGGCATGCTAGAGAAATTCAGGTGTTCAAAGATTCAAAGTAATTCTATCATTAAACCAATGGGACATCAGTCTTTTAGCAAAGCTCTGTACCTAAATACATACTGGTCTGTACACAGAGACAGAAGGCATCCTCAGATGTATTTAACTGAAAATGCTCTGTCGTCGTTTAAACCCTAGCCAGACAGCTTGTTCACTCACTCCCAGTGAGTGGTGCTGGGCTGGAAGCAATCGAGCCCCACCCACCCACCCATCCACGCCAGGGGGTCTCCCCTTCCCCACTCCCGAAGGGATGGGGAGGAGGATCGAAAGAGTGCAACTCCCACGGATTGAGACAAGAACAGTCCAGCAACCAATATACAACACAAATCACCACCGCTACCAAGAACAACAACAATGATAAGAGAAAATAACAAGGGAAGAGAATACAATACCACCCGCCAAGAAATGAGTGGGACTCAGAAGCCCGTGTCCTTCCAGGTAACACCCCCCCGGGCATGACGTGTTGTAGTATGGAATACCCCTTTGGCTAGCCTGGGTCAGGTGTCCTGTCTCTGCTCCCTCCCTGCTTCCCCTCCTCCCTGGCAGAGCATGAGCCTCACAAAGTCCTTGGTTAGGGTAAACATTACTTAGGAACAACTGAAAACATCAGTATTATCAGCACTGTTCCCAGGCTGAAGTCAAAACACAGTGCTGCACCAGCTACCAAGAAGGAGAAAAACTGACCACTACTGCTAAACCCAGGACATGCTCCTAAATGTAAAGAATTGTTTCTGTAGTTTTTTATAGATGCTCGGAGAAGTAAAGTCTGGTTTTTCAGTACCATGCACATGCTGCTAACCTAAGTATTTATTTCCACTGGCACCCACAGTATAGAGCATATATTACTCACAGTGACCAATTCATTGTCCCACACTTATACTATAGGTCTTAATTCTTTAGAAATACTTAGACATTCTTAGGTCTATGGATGGTGGAATCTTGATTTTATGGAATCTATTCATATTACATAAAACAAATTACATACAGACATTTGCAGGATTAAAGCTACAAAATGTAGGCTAAAAATACGCAGTGATTAGCTGTATAGCTCTCTCTGCTGATCTAGAACAGATATAATGCTAGTTAACTCTGGACCTCCCAGTTCTCACACTCCAATAGTCAGAACATAAAAGATCCAAACATGTCTTTTTCCCCTCAAGAAAACACTTGTTAAGAACACCTGATAATATCACTGATGTTCAGTTTCTTGTGATATTTTTATTCATGGTATTTATTCAATCCCAGTTTACAACTGTTTGGATGATTTTCATAACAACAACAAAATATGATAACTAGTTTTAGCAATAAATAAATGAGTTTAACCTTTAAGGTTTCTAAAACACTAACCAGTGCTCGAGTCAAAAAAGAATAGCTGATTTGCACCTTTGCTGTAAACCACAATGGATTATGGGCACTGCCAGAGACAGCTTTGGGAGATGATTAGAAATTGAGTTGCCGTTCTTTAGGAAGTGTAGATGTAGTAGTCACTCTGAAGAGGAACAAAGTTCAAATTGTTAATCCAACTGAATTCAGGTATACCACATGTTTTGTTACTGTAGTTTTACAACAGTCCCAATCAGCAGGAGTCATTTCAGAGTGCACACTACCAGATACATCTGACTACATGATCTCCTGGCCACTGGCCATTACTTTGTGGGAGTGAATAATTTGTCACTAGAGAAAGGCAATCTAGATTTTTATTTCCCATATAGATGTGAGAAGAAAGTATCTGCAGTTCTTCTGAATATGCTAAATTAGTTCTTATCTCCCAATCCACAACTTGCAGCTGTCAACTGAAGTCAGTGACTCTACTCCAGCTTTAAGCTCCACATGTACAAAAACACTTTGGCTGCTCTTATGGATTTTGTAGGCACTGACCACCAGTGATACATCTCTGAGAAACTGGGTAACAGAGCAAACAGGTATAAATCAAAATCCTACTCTTTTCTTACTGTGAATTAAATTTAGAGTCATTTCAGTGCCATTCCTTTAGTACCACTTCATGATCAATTTGAAACTTAGTAGAACTGGACAGTTCAGTTTGCTCTGTGTCTGTGCACTGTGCTTCTGCAGGCAGTTGGTATTTCTTTTCTGACTGTTTCCAAGGTGATAGTAGCTCATATATGGAGCTTTCCAGCTTTTAGGCAGGAAGGCATGCCAATAATGGAATCTTAACTTCTGCAGTATGGTTCATATTGAATTACATAAACCAATTTCTCTGGCCCTGTTCTATGATATGGATCAACACCAGCCTGTAAACAATGGCAAAAACATGGGCAAGCATCTTACCAACAGGTCATCCTTACAGATGTAGTAAGAAAGAACGAGGGGCACTTGCTACCAGAGGACTCCACTGAGGAATGACCTGCAATGGCATCTGCTGGGAGCACACCTCTGAGAGCAACACCACTGGAGTAAGACAGTCACCTCCAGTCCTGGAATGAGCCCTGGCACAGGGGCAAATTGGGGAATTTCATCCCAAATCTGTTGCACAAAGAAAAAGAAGGCAAAGTGCCTGGTCGCATTGCACTCCATAATTGTCAGACAAATGTGTGCAGACTGAGGGAGGAACCAGGTGTTCTACAGAACATTTGGAAGCATGAAAAGTACATTTCTCAGCCAGCACTTTAAGTGAAAAGAGAATTAATGTTGTGATTATACTGATATTTATTAAATACAGACACACACGTGCTGGGGCCATGGGACATTCATACAGTGCAAGTAAAGTACAGCCTCTGAAGTGAGCTAAGTATTCCCAACATGTAATTGCTACTGGTATTTCCAAATCCATTTATAAAAATAGGGGTACATGTGACATTGCCACAACAGTCTTGCATGAGCTATTTAGGTGGAATCATGAGTGAAACTTAATTAACTGTGTGGTACATCTTTTGCCTCTAAAATTTGTATGTAACAATATGAAATCTTTCTCTTCTGTCAGTAAAACCATTTGTCCTGTTTAGAAAACGATCTATTAAATATATCAGGTAGTGCAGTGCAACTGTAAATTAAATAATGTCCTTTTGATATGCTCTCAAAATCCTGAGGTAATAAAGAAGTATGTAAACTTGTTATCTGGCCCAAATCAAGGAGTCTGTTTCTCCTCAATGTCATCAAATTGTGCCCTCCAATGCATTATTTTATGGTAGCAGTTACAAAAATAGGGATGACTGTGATCAGGAAACTCCCATCTGTTAAGTGCTCCAGAAGAAAAATACTTTACAGGTTTTGAAATGTGGGTTTCTGGTCTTAATTACAGTAAAACATTATTTCAAAGTTGTGACTTTCACTTACCACTGTAATGAGTAAATACTCTAGCAATTAGGAATTGTTAGTACAGTACTGATTCAGAGAATCATTATTATAATTATTATACTTATGTATTTATTAACTAGATAATTATTATAATTGCAACTAATGATTTAATAATTAATAATGTTTAAGTGATACTTACTTGTAAAAATGTGCAGATGTGTGAGGAGCCCATCAACTTCTGATAGACTGGCATGGCCAAAAAATCCAGAAATACTGACCTAGGTATCATGTTAGTCATTATTACATTGCTGTGCCAACTCTACTACAGGTTCCAAACTGTGTAACCCTGACCTGACAGTCTGGTCATGCTGAAGCATGGCTTCATCCCATGCTGATGATCCATTGGAGCTCCATGTACGAGGGCCGATTGTAGGATGGGTATTTTCACAAACACCAGTGACTGCAGCCAAACAGATGAGCACAAGCATTTAGCAGAGTAGCAAACAGGCTTAAGAAACATATAGTATCACAGCCCATCTTTTTAGGAATATTTGACAGTTCCAAGGCAGTAGCTAAAGGAAGGCTTTAATTATTTGCAAGAGGATTAGATGAGAAAGGTTTACGGAGCTTCTTTGTTTTGTTTTGATATTTTAGTAGCCATTTTAATTGTTTGGGTTTTTTTAATCTATTTCTTGAGAAAATTTAATCTGTCATTGACTGTAAAGAGTTCGGGATATTCTGCTACAATTGTAGGAAATTAAACATTACTGATTATTATTATTATTTTTTCCCCCTCTATTCCCTTTGGCCAATAGGAATTATTAATTTTGATTGGGGGTGCACATGTATATGTAACAGCCTATTTAGCCTAAATACATACTTGTATGCACATTCAACTAAGCCCAAGCCTGAACAACACAGCATTTGTCCTTCTTCTATATAATATAGAGAATATGATTAAGGCCCATATACATCAAATGTAATTTATTTATCTGAGAGAAGCTGCACATTTATTTTCGAATTGTGTGGGAATGGATCTTAGAACACCTCTGTTTCTGAAGTACAGATACAAAGTGGTAGCTAAATCAGTCCTGTGAAAATAACAGGAGGCTTTGTTAAATCCAGGCGCGATGACGGAAAACTCCCTGTATGTGATTCTTCCATTCATCATGACATTGTTAATCCAAATCTACAGCATGAAACCTTGATCATTCTAGATGTTTTCCACAATTGGATAAATATCCCTATGCAATGTCCAATGAAAGGGATGGATAGTTTATTTTCAAGGGATAACCAGAACCCTTGTAATATATCTTGGTTGCAAGGGGTTCTTTTAGAAAAATTATTACAATCCTCCCATCACAATTGCATTAAGTATTTTATGGACATTCACCTTGCTGTTTTTTGCTGAAAAAGGCATGTGATGGTAGAAGTAAGAAAGAGAACTAGTGTGCTGAATTTAGAGAAAGCATGTAAATGATCCTCTTCCTCTTTTTTTCTTTTTTGAATATCAGAACCACTGACAGCAAAGAACTTTCTCATGGGACCAAATAAAGTGAGTGCTGGAAGTGTTGCTGTTGTAGAAAATAGAATTCTCAACACAGTGATTTGTTTAGAGGATCACCATTTCATTTTAACTTGCTTTTGTGGTCAAATCTGTAGCAAGATCTATGCCTGTAGAGCATATGCTGCCATAATGAACTTAAACCAACACACAACACACACACACACATACATATGTTACACGTGCATAAAATACACGCAAATATCTACACACATACATTTTATATGTGTGTACAATACAAAGGTATACATACTGACACACATACATGTTACACATGTATAAGATACACACATTTATTATATATGTACAATTTGCCTCGACTAATTTTGCTATTTTTACGGGTGTATGCTGAAGACAGAAAACACTTTTTTGCTAGTAGTAAATTAGATGATGACTGTTTAGCCAGAGAAAAACAATACCAAGGAGTATTCTCAGAATAGATACATAGTTCATTGGAACACCAGTCTTAAAAGTAGGAAAAATATGAAAGCAGGTCAACTGAAAATACCCTGAAAGGTGTAAAGCTGTGTACACTTGTGTATGTACTGTATATATCTGTATGCCTCTTCTCCTGGATCCCACTGAGTTGTTATTCTCCTCGTCCACCATCCTTTAGTTGTCATTTGAAATACTGATATTGAATAATAATACTAAATTAAGCACAGGAAAAGATAAATGGAACACTTTACCCCTGGTGCAGCCTATCATTTGCTTAAGGAATCTATACATTCATTTGTGCTGTATGATATTTTTTAAAAATGTCTCCTTCCCAGTGTTTCCTTTGTGTTTCCTTGGTTTTAAAATTGTCATTCTAGATTGAACAGCACCAAAAAAAAAGGAGGCGGAGGAGGAGGGAAGAAAAGAGCGAATATGGAGGAGAAACCCGAGTCTGACCTGCAAGTCAAGAAGGACCCTGCCCGGGGCTCCCTCCCCTCTCCTCGCCTGGCAGCGTCCCGCCGGGACGAGCGGGGGTTCCGGGCGGGCGGACGGGGCGACCGCGGGATGGAGCGTGGCGAAAGCAGAGTCACAGCTCCGGGCTCGCTGGAATAACCTGGAGCGTTTCACTTCGGAGGAGCCCATCGGAGACCCGCGAGCGGCGAGGCAGAACTTTGTGAAATCCCGGGGCTGCGTCTGTAGCACCCGCCTGGGACGGCTCTTGGAACAGGAAGAGGCGGCAGCTCCCCCTCAGCGGAGCGTCGTGTCCGTTCCCCCCCCCTTTATATTCCCTCTGCTTGAGGGCGGGCTGCAGCTGCGGTCGCCCCGGAGCTCTGCGGCTGGGACTTGCATCGTGTCGAACCGAGCCGTGCCTCGCCTCCCGTCGCTTGCACTCGCGGTGTCCCGGCTCCCGAGCCCTCCCCGGGTAGCCGGCTCGCTGCTGCCAAACCGCCTCTTCCTCCTCTCCGCAATTATTAGCACAGGACGCTAGTATCTCCGGAGCACTTTTACTTCTCTCCCGCCCGCGCTCGGCGGGATTTGTCTATCATTCCAGAGGTTATTTTCAGCGCTCAGCCTGGCCCGCGGGCAGACGGGCCGGAGGCAGAGCCGGGCGCGCCGTGCCGCAGCGGGGCGGTGAGGGGTACCGGGGACACGGCCCGGTGCCCGCAGAGGAGTGGAGCTGCCCTGCGCCCCGTTACTGCCTGCCTCCATGGAGAGAGCGGGGAGGCTGCTTCTGCTGAGCATCACAGCACTGCTTTAAACTCATCCTCAACTTACACAGCCAACGAGGATGGCAACGCTGCTGAGCAGCCAAGAGAGCCGGGGAGTCTGGGTTTTGTTTGCCACTGTCTAATAAATGGGAGTAAAATGGAATTGCTTACCTGGGTTTTTCCTGCACTGGTCCTACTGTGCACCCAGCAGCACAGGTGTATCAGGTAAGAAAATGCCTTATCATTCTGTCCTAAACTGGACTTAGAGAGCTGTTGTGGTGGGGTTGGTACTGCCGGGTCTGGCTGCGGCTCCCAATCTCCTGGAGCTACGGTGCTCAGGAGAAAAGGGGCTTGACTGAAGAGTTTCCTCAGTGTGACCCATCTTGTGGTTGTTTGGTTTGGGTTGTTTTTTTTTTTTTCCCTCCTTTTTCTAGCAGAGGACACACTTCTGCCAACTGAGCAGCAATTTCTTGGGTTAATCCAGGGGTGTGTTTTTAACAGGATGCCTTTTCCCAAGGACACTTGCTCTAAATTGGGGGCAATCTCTTTTTGTAATGGTATTGCACATCCCAGCGCAGCCTCATCCTTATAACAGCTCTGTAGGGGGCCTGCTTGGATGAGAAACTCTTCTATAAATCCAGCACAGCCAATGGGGTATGAACTGAACATCTTTGCCTGGGGCCTCCATAGGTACAATGAAAACTCCCAAGTAGAGACATTCCTTTCTAATGGGTTCATTAAGACTCCTGAATTTGAGATGAGAGGAAGAGACTGGCAGAGATCTTAGAAAAAAACATCTGAAGAACGCCAACCATTTCTTAAAATAACAAATTGTAAAGATCTATGTTTGCAATTCAGAGTCACATTTCTTCGGGAGGTGTTAGCTAGGCAACCAGCTATGCGCTCTCTATATGCTCTCCAGCTCTGGAGGATGGATTTCGAGAAAGCTTGCCATGATTATGTAATGAAAATAGAAGGGGGAGTGAAAAAGAACTTGCTGTATGTAAAAAATACATGTCTACATCACTCTTCCTGCTTCGACTTCACAGGCATTACTGATAGCTTTAGAGGATTGTAAGAAGCAAAGTGATAACTGTAGTAAGACATAACATTGCTGTCATAGGTTTTGGAATTAATTCGTGAGATCTGATTTTTTTCCCTGGGAAGGAAAAGGATCTGGCATTAGAGGAAGTGTCAACTGCTTTTATTTAGGACTGACATAATGACTTATCCTGTGACCTTGAGGCTGTTACCCATGATCAGATCCTGACACTGTCATGCTCTCAAGCAATCCAGTGTTATAGCAAAAGCAGAGGACATACTATTTGTGACCTAAGGGCATCAAGATCTTGCACATAATGTCAACGAGCCTGTCTCTCTATCTGTGCTTGGACTAGCATTATGTATTTTGGTTGAAAAGTGGTGTTTGAGTATAAGAGAAGAAGGAATTTTAAGGAAGAGTCAGCCTCTTTGTTCTTAGGCACAGCAACTGCCAGGATATGTACAGCCTGTAATTTGTTGGATAAATGACTTTACAGTTGGATTAATTACCTAGTTACTGGACATTCTTCCTCCAGTTACACAACAGTGATGACCCATTTGTTAGAAATGCATACACATGTGGCAGAGAGTAAGGCAAAGCAAATTCTACTTTGTGAAATTCTGACTGTTCCATTTGTGGTAGTTTTCCAAGTATGCCAAATTGTGAGAGATTCAGTGGTCAAAGAGAGCTGCTCTGTTCAGTACAAGTTTTCTGAAGATTCTGGATTTAGCATGGCTATGGCAGAACACTGCTCAATCTTGTAAGAAGTGAGTAACCTGCATGTGTGCTTCTGAGGAGTTAAACAGAACAAAACCAAAATTCCTTGCATCAGTAAAATTACTCACACACAGATGACCTATGAAATAATTCCCCTTCGAAGGGCCCAAGAAACACATTAACTTCGTTATTCTTCTTCCTTGGAGTTCTGTAATTAGTTCTGTAACTATTCTGGGTAAGAGATGCTTTTATGAAAAGCAGTATTTTATTAACACTGTAGTTTTACAATAATGGGCAAACTTGCCAATAGCTACATTTTATTGCTCTGCTTTTGTGTTCTAAATGTAATGTGACTCATGGTTGGGATGACAAAGGACTTCCAAATTCACCATATTCTCTGCTTGTGAGTTCTATGGACTGTATATTGATAGGCATAAGCAAAAACATACTGAAAAAAAGGAAGAACTGAACTCGGTGGTACAACATATGACTTTCCAAAGGGAAAATGAGCTGTTAAGATAATGTTCTGGTTTGGCAGAGGAGGAAAGTGAGGTGAACATGAAGCTACTTCCTTAGAGCGGTTTTGAATACCCTTTTGGGGTGCTTTAAGGAGCCATTGTTGAAGCAATTTCTCTGTCATGTGTGCGGTTTGACTGAAGTGAATGAGCCATATTTGACCTAAGTCAGCACATCCTGCTTATGCCAGTGCTGTTATCAGGTAAACATCTTTAAAAAGTGGTATTTTCTGTTCTGCTCGAGACAGTGGTTAGTGGTAAGAAACAGCTCTTTGGGGCAAAGACTGGAGCTTCCCCTATTTTATCAGTTTGGTGTGGATGCTGCAGTAATAAATGTGCCACAGTGAATGCGATCATCTGCTGAAATACACTTTGGAATATTGCTGTATTTGTGTGGGGAAAGAGTACTACTGATAGGAGTTTTGGAGTGTATGTCTGTACTTTGGAATTCCTCATGGAAAGAGATTTTAATTCTCTAATTAAAAACAGGTGTATCTTTTATAGTTATGATTCTACTATGTTAAATGACTTCTATACATTTGCATACAATTGTCCTTCTGTGATGTGTCTCCCTCAGTCTTTTACTGATATTCATGGAAACAGAGCAGCTTTAACACATAAATGTATGAAAACAATGGTCCATTTTCTGTAGGTTAAAACTCAGAGAGGAAATAGGACTTTGATGTTTAAAAGGTTGCCATGAATTAAGCTTAATGCTTTTTCAATTACATTTCAAAATACAAAAGGTTTACACTGAGCTTCACTTAGTCAGGAATGGCAGATGGGAGGGATACACATACTGCTCTAGATAATTCTGGATTTTGGCAGAGGCCAGATTGCTCACTGACCTTGCAGGATATTCCTTATCTTTTTCCCCAAGAAAGTTTCCTTCATGGCAATGACATCTGGGACATTTGCACCCTAAAGATTACCTAAAGAAAATTAAAAATAGTCCATCCCATCCTCAGTATCAAACTGGTATTTCCATCCACCAGGTTTAAAGATACATATAAATAACAACTATGTCACAGTCCCCAGAAGAATCAGGTTAGCAGACTTAAAGAAGAAACAGATGATGCAAAAAGTGATTTTCAACATCTTACTGCTGTATGTATTTGTCAAGAGGTTAGCACACTCCCTCTGGAAGTGTGACCTAAAATCAGTATCTCATTGGCCACTGACTTAAAGATGCTGCAGAGCTTTTGGCACTGCTGTGCAAAACCAATATGGCTAATGTTAAGTCTGGTTCATCAGTTGCAGTGCACTCATTCACACAGAGCATACAGATTGCCTCCTTCCCTGGTGTAATTTAAATACTTACCAGAGATTTTCTAGTTGTATTGATATATTTCTTGCAACCGTTTTCCAGCAGTGTTCTGGCCTGACAAGCCTTTTAGAGATGTGCTGTCCAAGTTGTTTGGGAGAAAGATGTCAGCTCAGTCAAAAAGGATTTTGGGCTAGATAGGCTTTTTATTCTAGAACTGATAGTACTTAGCTCTGAAAGAGATGAGTTTCTTTGCTCTGTCATTTGAGATTCATTGCTTGGAGTCACTTTCCCTATGAAAAGAGAACTTCCCTTTCTTCCCAAAGAACTCCACAGTTTGCCCACTTTATTAGTGATCTTTTTTTCCTCTTTGCTTCTGTGCAAGAGAACTAACTATGCTTTTCACAGAGAAGATGTTTTACATCCAGCTTTAGATCTGGATGACTTTCAGAGTAGTATTAGTGCACATGACTATGCTGCCATTCAGGCAGACAAGCACCCCTCTCTGTCCTGGTGCAAAATAAAGATAAGCTTTTTTGATGAGCTGTTATGCCACTTGAATTTTACAAATCAAAAGCTTAATTTTACGAAGTCCTTTTCTTACTAAAACAAGCTTTATAGCAGCTTATGTCATGAAGTGAAGCTGCTGAATCAACTAATAGTAGTTTCCTTTCTTTTCATCTTTACTGCTTACACTTGGAAAAGTTAATCCCTTCCAATGCATATTTTCTATGCTGGTCTTCCTTTTTCAGGTACCATAAATAAATAATATTTTAGGCCCTATGTAATCCCAACTGCTTATCAAGGGTGAATGAAATTCTCCCACCATCCTTCGTGTAACTTGAAAGCACTGGTCCTGATGTACGGAATGAATAATGTAGAAGAATGGCCCAAAGGAGTTATCACAGACTGGCCCGTGAAGTGCCACAAAAATAAACTTCTGCTTTCCAAAGCCATTGTTTGTGACTGAGGACTGCTATACTGTCTGCCAACAT